CATTTCTTATATAATACATAGGGTTGCAGTGAGTAACAGGTAACTTGATGACACATGACAGCAGCAACAACAGTGTAGATTTTAATCTTTTCTCAAATACATAACCTGTAAAGATCACCACCCCCCCACCCCCCGTAAGTTATCTTTTCACATTTTGATAGTGTCCTTGGAAGCACAAAAGGGTTTTTTTTCTTTTGATGAAGTTCAACTTTATTTTTCATACAGTCACTCATGCTGCTGGTGTTGTGTATCTGAGCAGTCATTGCCTAATTCAAGGTCACAAACATTTACACCTTTATATTCCCCTTGGAGTTTTGTCATTTTAGTTTCCCAGCATAAGCCTTGGATCCATTTTGAGTTGATTTTTGTGATCAGTGTGTAAGGTAGGGATCCTTTCATGGTGATTTCTCACCATAGGTAAGGGGACACACTGTCATCAGACATGCTGTGCTGTCTCAGAACTGTGGCCTGGGGCTCCTGGACCCTCCACAGCAGACCCGGGCCAGAGCCTTGCGAGCAGATGTTTCTCATGACATGGCATCCCGCAGAGAACATCAGCCAACCTTTTTAGAATAAGACATAATAGTTGACATCATAGAGACGGCTAGAGCTGAGTTTCTCTTCCCAGCCCTTCTGCTTCCCAGAAGCTGATTCCAGCTCAGTCATTTAACCCCCTCTGGACCTCAGTTCCCTGTGAGCTCGAAAGGCCTTGTGATGATGGTGGAGACGGTGGCTCGGAAAAGTACCGGACAGGTGGTGGGGCTCACCAGCGCCTGCCAGTTCTGTGCTGTCCTCATGAAGAAACACACTGAGCACTCTTGAGAATTGTTTTTCTTACTTTAAAGGCAATTAGCCAAGACAAGAATGCCTTTTTTTTTTTTTTTAAGAATACCTTTTAAACTTTTACATTTGGAGCAGGGATTGAACAGCTGCCATCCCACGGCAGCCTCGGTGTTAGGTTCCGTCGAGCAGAGGATGACTCAGCGACCCTGTGAACCACCAATCTGAACCCTGCCCTATCCTGACCGTTTCACCATAGCTGATCCTTGAGCCTACTGTTAACAGTCACCATGGCGATCCATCTTGTTGAAGGTCTTCCTCTCTTAAAACAACCTTCCACCTTACCAAGCATTTGTCTTTTTTCCAAAGACTTGCCTCCACAGAGCGCCCTGCTTTCACTTTCTCCAGAACAGACTTGGTTTTTTTTGACAGTCCTTGGTATATTCGCTACTCTTCTCCAACACCACTTCTGTTATCCTTTAGTCCAACTTTCAGATGCAAAAGAAATAATCGAAAATACCATGACTTGGAACAAGTGCCACCCTAGTTTTTAAACATCATTGTTGCATTTCAGCCTTTTGAAAGGTCCTTGACAGCAGATTTTCCAAATGTAACACTCTTCTTTTGCTTTTGTTACCAAGGACTGAAGCGACACATGAATACAGGAATTAAGTCAAAATGCAGTGTATCTAACTCCTGCTGAATGCCTCACCTCAGTGGTGAAATAAAAGGGCACTTCGCAGATATTTCTAAACCACACCTGGTGGTATCAGTGAGTGACCCTTGTTAATACCCCACTGAAGAGCACACTGGCCTCAAGCCTGTCCAAGCAGAAACCATGAGGACTGACGTGGGGCCTTTAATTAGGTGCAGGTGTCTGTGCGGTGGGGCGTCCTTGGGCATTTACATCGAGGAGCTCAATTTGAATGGCAGTTGTGTGCCACCACTTTGCAAGTTCATCCTCCTCTCTAACCACACGCTTGACTTTGGCATCGAGGGTGCTATCCATCTGGTCTGTAGCATATTTTGAGGAGCATGTTACATTACAGTTTTTGAACCAAACTAATAATGTCTTTTTAAAAAATTATTGAAATGTTATAAAATGCATTTCAATTCAGAGCCTTGTGATACCCCCAGAACTCAGTGTAGGGACCCCAGCCTTATTTTCTGTGAGGATCCAAGCCCCTTCAGCACAGGTAGGGCATGTGGGGAGGTGAGCTGGGAGCATAGGCTGGAGCTGGGAGCTTCAGAGGCCTCATTGTCCGGTCTGGGACAGGATGGGGGACCAGCATCCACTTTAACCAGAATCCTCTAAGGGAGCAAACAAGACAGCTCACTGAGGAGTCTGCTGCTCAGATCTTGGGGCTGAAGCAGCCCTTTGTTTCACTCTGGCTAAGAGTCTCCGTGATGAAGATACTGTCTGGAGAGCAGCAGGAAGTGTTGCCAGAGCAGGCTGTGGCAGTGTGGTGCCCAGCACATTGTCTGTGCCCTGAAGAGCTAGGGAAGGGAAATTGTTACAGAGTTTGTCATTTTTAAATTCCTCAGAAGTGAAAAACTTGTTCTCTTGCTTAATCGCAAGCCTTTTCCTCCATGTGTTTTCAGGGAATCCCAGCCCATCCCTTAGGAGAGCTGCTATCAAGCAAGGGTGGGTTTTCTCCATATTCTTTGTGATTTAAGGCCAGCTGACTGGCAAAAAAAGGGCTGTGTTGAATGATGAGGATTGTGGAGGGGGCAAGACTGTGGGGACTAGTGAGTGGATGGAGGGGGCCTTTGCCCTCACAGGAGCCCCAGTGTAAGTAAGGGTGCCTCTGGAGTCAGGAGCTGCTCGTTGGGGGGAATGGGGAGTGGAACTGGGGAATTTTATCTGAAGGGCCCTCTGGGCACGTCTGACTACAAGGAGGCCTGAAACAGATTTGTGGACAAGACTTGATTCTCAAAGTTCTCTATAAAGAAGCAAGCCATTGCTTCATTCCAAATTCTTCCTAAGCTTCAGTCCCTCACAGCTGCCAAGGAAAACAGCATTGCATTAAGTTGCTGCAGAGAAACTGAAGCTGAACTTGAGAGCGAGCCTAGGCCTCCTGTCTCCTCTGGCTGGAGCCCTTCCGTGTTCAGAGCCTACTTTGTCCCTCTGGCTCCCTTTACCCCTTGCGTCCACATCCCTGCCAGGCTCTGAGCCCTTAACTCAGGGGCTGTGTTTACTCATTTTGCTCCCTTTGGCTTTCTGTCTGTTTGTGAAAGAAAACAGAGCTATCCCTCACCCCATAAAAATGCAATCTCTAGCAGATCAAGAAAGAAACCTCATGGTTTTGGGTTTTGGGTGGTTTTTTTTTAAAAAAAAAAAGTACTATAAAGTGCCACAAGAAAATGAGCACATTTTTATAGTCTTGGAATAGGAGAAGAGACCACACACAGAACTCACAAAGGAAAAGAAGTACAGATGCAACAGCCTGGCCTTTTGCAATCTGCCCATGTCCAGGAAATCACTGTGAACAAAGCCGAAAGGCTGTCTCAGACCTGATGCCTTTGCAGCCGATGAGCAGCCGTCACATTATTCATTCTGTATAAAAGGTAATCAGAACAAACACCCAAAGAGAAAAACAAGGGAGGGACTGGCACTCCTGCCACTCTGAGCCTCACACAAACGTGGGAGATGCGAGTGTTGGTGTCCTCTTGAGTTTTGCATCTCCGCCATCTGGACCTGTTTACGAAAAGGCCAGTTAGCCACCATCTGCCAGTTAGTTAGAATTCTTACCTGCGGCGTGTGAGGCTGAGGGCCTCCGGGGCCCTGCCCACCCCACAGTTAACGCCACTGCGGTTCTGAGGTGGTTGACTCTGCAGAGAGGCGCCTCGGGGTTGAGAGCATGGCTGCTATTTTTTTAAACCAACTGCCTTTGAGTCAACTCCGACTCCTGAAGTGAGTCCGAGGAGAATCTTCTGTATTGCAGTTTCAGAAACTGGTTTCCAGGCCATTTTTCCGAGATGTCTCTGGGTAGACTTAAGCCTTCCCCAATTTCAGTCAGTAACCAAGCATGCTGTCCATTCATATCACCCAGGGACCCCTGGCTGTCTTTCAGTAATGTGATACTGGGGAGTCACCGCATCTCTTCACATTGATTTGCTCATCTCTGAAGCCAGGTTTAGGAGACAGTCTATCTTCTTCGTGTGGGTGAAAGGAGGGTTGAATGTCCCAGTACAGGCGGAGCACTTGGGCCAACCCAGCGCAGCACGAGCAGCAGGTCAGCAGTTCATACACCTGTAGACTCATTCCTGTCATATACCTCCTTCATCGGCTCTTTTAAAGGGGACATCTTCATTGTCTACCTTTCTGGTGACCCAGGGGCTGAGCCTTTACTGTTCTAAAGCTGGAGCTGTTTGAGAACAAGCATTTGTTCTTTCCCGAGACGCTTTTGGAACTTGAGAGAAAGTCAAAGTGGCCACACTATCAGTGAGGGTTGCCCCTGGGAGGCCCTTCACTGTCCCACCAGGATGATAAGAAGAGTCAGCACTCTTTCTAGAAGAGTCAGCACTTCCTCTCCGCTGCTTCCAGTCCGAGGGCGAGTCTTGGGGCTCCTGGGTTCGCTGCCAACCTCCTGTGCACAGACCCCCTCCCCCCAGCCAATGCTCTTGTGGCTCTTGTGTACGTGTCTGACGTGTGCTGTGGAGATGAAACCAAGCCATAGCCTGTCCTCCAGCAGGTTTCTGTTTGTTTGTGATGGTTAATTGAATGTATCAGGTTTTATGTTGGGTTTTTTGTTTTTTTTAAATTGTGATTTTAATGAAAGTTCACCAAAAATTTGGATTTTCATTCATTCATTGTTGCACATTTTTTTCTCTCTCCTCCTCTCCCTCCTCCCCACCCATTCTGTTGAGTTTTTAAAGTCAGTGAATCACACAGGAGGAGATTACCCATCCTTCTTTGCCCGTGGAACAGCTGGTGGATTTGAACTGCGTGACTTTGGCATTGCAGCGCAGTTTCTTATCACTAGGCCCCCTGAACTCCCTTGTCTGGCATTACTCTAGAGAGATTCTGCTGCTTTTCAGGAACCATCTGTAGAAGTAGAAATTACTGTGTTTCCCATTGTAAGCTTCATTATAGGTTTGCTCCTCTGTTCTGTTTAACTTTATGGAGAGCCAACTGTTGTAAGAGCAGAGGGGGTCATTAGCAGGAAGTGTGCTAACCCCAGGGACTGTTCTAACTGCAGGCTTGGTTTTCTTGGCAGGAGGTCAATGGCATCACTGCAGCCCTGGCTGAGGAGCTCTTTGAAAAAGGTATGTGGCACCCTCAAATAGTACAGCTTGCCCAGCCCCGCAGCGTGGCCAGAAGGGGCACCCAATTCTATCCTTCAGGATGTGCCAAGTGAGTCCTAATCAGGGCCCACCTCCCTGGGGATGCCCCCCATCTGTGGTCCATGGCCAAGCCTACCTGCCATGCTGGAAGGCAGGTCAAGAAATTGTGGTCCTTCATCTTAGGACAAGGGTCAGGGGTGCATCCCAAAGCCCATAGTGGCATTCTGGACAATCACTCTTTTGTCCCTACCTAAAAGAGTTAGATGGCGCTCTGGTGGCCTAGTTTATAGACAGTCTTGCTGGTAACTCAAAGGCTGCACATGTCCACTGGTTCAAATCCACCAGCTGCTCTGTGAGAGAAATAGGGACAGTCTTCTCCTGTAAAGGTTAGGTAGCCAGTCGAAGGCAACATTGGGTGATGGCCCTGACTGAGATCACGCTAGCTGTCACTCACGTGTATTGGTCCCTTCCTGCGGTCCAGCCTTATACGCAGCACTTTTTATTTCTTTTTCCCCAGGAGCCGTAGTCACATTTGTGGCCACTGAGTATCAGAGACTCCTTTACCTGCTTGAGGGCACATGGCTCGAAGGAGCAGAGTTAGAACCACCTGCTCTCAGCCACCTACACTCTACTCGGGTGGCACATGTGACTGGCACCTAACCTGAAAACATTGTATTTTAAAGGGAGCTCTGGTGGCCTAGTGGCAAAAAGCTGTGCTGCAATCGCGAAGGCACACGGTTTGAATCCACCAGATGCTCCGCTGGAGAAGGAGGGGAAATCTCCTCCTGTGCCTGTCGGATCTGATTCGATGGTACACAACAGGGGGGAAGAAAAAAAACCCAATGAAAACATTTTAAAGGGAGCTCTGGTGACCTAGTGGCAAGAATCTGTGCTGCAATCCCAAAGGCACATAATTCGAATCCACCAGATGCTCCCCTGAAGAAGGAGGGACAATCTCCTCCTGTGCCACTCGGATCCGATTTGATGGTACACAACAAGAAGAAAAGAAAAACAACATATTTTAGAGGTTGCTGTGTAGTCTATCCCCCAGGATGCTGTCTCTCGCTGACCTCCTTGGGGAACCCCTAGCTATGTACCCATAGCCCTCTCTTCCTCTACAAGCACACGCACAGGGTCTGCCCCATGTGGCCACAGCTTTGCTGGATGGTGCAGTGGCCTTAATGGGTGCTTGGAGCTAAGTCCTGGTTGGTGGTGGGTCCAGCCACACAGTGACATTGGGGCATGGCCTTTCAGGAGAACAGCTTCTGGGGGCCGGCCAGGTCTTTGCCATCGGTCCCCTGCAGCTCTACGCGGTCACAGAGCAACTGCGGCAGGGAAAGCCCACATGCGCCAGTGGGGACGCCAAGACCGACCTGGGACACATCCTGGACTTCACTTGTCGCCTTAAGTACCTTAAGGTAAAGCTGCAGCAGATGGGCGTGCAACCTGCCAAGGGCCCAGCTGTGTGTGTGAAGGGGACAGTCGATAGGCCCTCAGGGGACAGGGCAGGCTACCTTTGGTGTTCTTGGAGTTGTACTTCTGGCTCTGAGCACCAGAGGGCGATCTTTGCTTTAAACCTCACCATGGGTCAGCTGTGTCCACTTGTGATGATATGATGATGATGGAGGAGCGTGTGCCCCCGAGCCTCACATCACGTCAGTGAGTCAGTTTGGTAGCTGCTGCAGCACTGTCCCAGGAGCGAGGATGCTAACTCAGACCCGGTCTGCGGCCACAGGTTTCCGGCACAGAAGGGCCTTATGGGACCAGCAACATCCAGGAGCAGCTCTTGCCTTTCGACCTGTCGATATTCAAGTCTCTTCATCAGGTGGAGGTAAGGCCTGAGCCCTTGGAAGGCAGACAGGATGGAGCCCTGCTCAGTGACCGTCTGGCTCGGGGCTGTTTTTTGGACGTCAGAATCAGCTTTAATCATAGACACTAGTGCGTTCACACCAACATCATGTGCCACCCTCTGGCCTTGTAAGTCAGACCTGGCCAGAGGCAGAGGAATGGGGCCTCTGCTTGTCCTGACTGGCTCTGCTGGGCAGCAGGGGCCGTTGCTCTTCCTGGGGTTTCCTATGGGGCGACGAGCTGTTGTTTGCATTGAAGTCTCAACAAGTTGACCAGGGGGCCAGGCAAAACCAAACCCAAGTCTGTTGTTTCTGAATTAGACCAGGAAAGGCTTTCGGAGGTTTACTGTCCTCCTGGAGTGCTTACAACTAGTAAGAAGTCCTTGCCATTGCTGACTGCTGAACTTCTTGCTAACATGTTGACCTCTTTAAAAATGAAAGGTGGGGGGAGGGGGAGGGGTTTGTGCGGGGAGAAGGGTGCAACAATGAATGAATGGAATTCCAAAATCTCTGTAGATGTTCATTGAAATGAAAAATAAACAACCTAAGTTTAAAAAAAAAAAAATGAAAGGTGACTGACTCCATAATGAATAATGTAAAATGTTTACAAGTGTCCTTTTTTTTTTAGCATGACTTCTGCCCTAAGCCCTGTTTCCCGTGTCCAATGTATGTTCTTTAGTTGGAATCTAACCAGTAGCCCTCTCCAGTGGACACTAATTTAACTGTTCTCATTTTACCGTTGAGAAAATGAGGCTTAGAGACAAGGAAGTGTGGCTAGGATAGTACACAGTTAGTGAAGGGACAGCTGGGTTTGAATCCAGCTGAGTCTGACTCCTGAGCCCAGGACGATTCTGCCTGCAGCATCCCGGGCTAGTCCTAGAGCTCTTGAGGCCTGCCTCCATTAATGAACACTTGTAGTATGTTACCCTGATCACTGCTGGCCAAGTAAAGGCTAGGCAGTTTGAGGAAAACCCGGCCTGGCATGACCAGCAGAGGCTCTGTGGGCCTGAATCAGGTGTGTAGCACTCGGACAGGTGGCTCTTGGGAGGTGCTGTGGCCTCTCTCCCTCCCCTCCCCACCACAGGACAGCTCACGCAGTGAGACGGAGGCTGAGTGAGTGGCAGGCCCACCATGCTCGCTGTTTTGCAGTGGCCCCTTGCTCCCCAGCTCTGGTTTTCCTGGCATCACCTTCTTATCCACCTGAGAAGCCCCTACAGAGACATAGGTTCACTGTTCATCGTGAGTCAAGAAAGCCAGACACTTTTCTCACTAGACACTTCAGAGAATATCTGATCAGCAGTAAAATTGAGAAGAAAGGAAACATGGGTTTTGGGTCGCCCCCTGAGATTCCCAGTGGGGCAAGGTGCCATTGCTGACATGCAACCGTTCTTTGTTCCAGATCAGTCACTGTGATGCTAAGCACATCCAAGGGCTGGTTGCATCGAAGCCCACATTAGCCACAATGAGCGTCCGTTTCTCAGCCACGTCAATGAAGGTGAGCAACAGCTGCTTCTCTCTGAGGCACCGTCTGAGGGTCAGGGTCCAAGGGTGGGAGAAGGCGCTGCTGTCTCTCACAGTCGCAGGCTCCCCTGGGACGCCCTGGTCCATGCCTTCACCCGCAATCCACTGGTTAAACTAGACATCTTAAGGAATTGCATTTTCTTTTACTTTAGAGTTTAAAAAAACCCAAAAAATAAAACCCACCCAGTGGTTGCTTTTTGTTTCTTTTTCCTGTGGAGCATTTATTCAACAGTGGTAAGTGGTAGGGCATTTATTGTTTAGATTGCTAGAGATGGTTCTCCATGTTTGAAAACCCAGACTCAGCACTGATATCTATCTTGTTCATTGTGAATTTGAAGTAAAACAGATGAGGCTGCAGAACATTGTCTGTATGCGAGCAACAGAAATGTGTGGATGGGAAATGTGAGAAGTTTGCTTGGCTTTGTTAGGGAGTTTTTAATTGCATTTTTAAGGGCGTTTGTTAATTTTGTTTTCCCTCCTTTTTATGGATTGCATCTTGGAAATGTTAAAAGCCTTTTAAAGAGCATAAGAGAAACATAGGGACTTTTTATGGGATCTGGGTTCATATGAAAACTTCCCCTTGAGGCTGCTGGCTGAGAGAAGGAGGTTTTGTCCTAACTGTAGAGGGAGTCGGACCTCATGCCCCTCCCAAGTGTACCTCCCCTCTGGGCTGACAGGGCATGAGAGAAGTAGTCTTGTGGGCACGTGAAGTCACAACAAGGGGACTCCTCTCTCCCCTTCCCCACAGTGTCCCTGTCCTCTCTCCCTACTGTGCCCCTTATGCTGTCTGTTTAACTTTAACCCTGTGAAACTAGAGCAGTTGCATCAGACCAGCCTCGCTCATGGAAAGTCACCCAGTGTGTGTCACAGTCACTGTGTGTTTCATAAAGTTTTCTTTTTATTTTATTCTTCTTTCACCAGCCCAGTGGTCCCAGCCACAGACCTGCTGTGATGGCTTTGGACAGGTCACATCCCCTCTCTGGACTTCCTTGCCATTGTGTGGAAGAAAAGGGAATAGATTGGGGGGGGGAGTATGTCTGTGTGTGTGGTGAAAATAATACATAAGAAAACATATGCCTCTTACCTACAAGTACAAATCAGAAACATTGATTATATTCTTCAAGATCTGCAACCATTCTGGCTTGTTGTTGTTGATGTGCACCGTAGAGTCTGAACTGACACATAGCTGACTCTCCAGTGGGTTTTCAGAAGCAGTTAATGGCACAGGAGACTGCTTGTCCTTCTCCTGTGGAGCAGCTGGTGGCCTCGAACCACATGCAGGGTAGCTTGCCACTAGGCCACCAGAGCTCCTTAAATTTTGTTTTTATGAGGAATATACACAGCAAAACCAGTTTCTCCATTTGCAGCCCAGTGACACTGATTACATTAGTTGCATTGTGCAGCCATTCTCACATTCCTTTTCCTTTCCCCCCCCCCCCCCAACCTCCTGTTCTGGTTTGTCTCTCTTCTGTTAAGGTACACTCACTGCCCCCTAAGGTTCCGGTCTGATCTTTCAAGTTGCTGTCATCACCCCAGGGGTTTTTAGTGTTTGAGAAGTAGGTTGCCAGTACCCTGTAGATGGACTCAAACGATCAACCTTTCTGTTGGCCACCTTTCAGTTGGCCACCTTACAGTTGGCCAACCTTTTGCTGACCAGCAGTCAGCAGCCGAATGCATTTACCATTTGCTTCACCCACAGAACCCTAGCCCTGGGAAGTAATGGTTAAAAGTGTTTGCTGTCCACAGCAAGAATCAACACTGCCGGCCCAGAAAGCACAGTTGCCTGGAAACACCGTGATTTCTGACCTTTGCCTTGAGATTTTAATTGGAAAAAGCACCACTCCATAGCTACCAGCTCCTGTGGGCTTGAAAAGATTTGCTCCTGAAGTCAAGCCAGGATATATTGCATGCGGCTGTTATGTTGCTGAGCTTTTCAGTTATTTCACAATCATTTAAAGATGTAAAAACCAAAATCCCCGTCCTAATGCAAGTTTACTTCCACATGCTAAATATACTGAAGCCCTTCCTTAAATTTTGCAACGGTTGTATTCCCGACGGGAGCGTCGCGTGCAGGCCTCAGCGTGTGGTGCTCACCAGATGTTCTTACACAGGAAGTCCTTGTTCCCGAAGCCTCAGAATTTGATGAGTGGGAACCAGAAGGCACAGCGTTGGAGGGCCCTGTGACCGCCATCATCCCCACATGGCAGGCCTTGACCACCCTGGACCTGAGTCACAACAGCATCTCTGAGGTCGACGAGTCTGTGGTAGGCGCTCCGCAGTTGCCGGGGGCTGCCGGGCCTTCCTTAGCCCTGAGGTTTCAGAGTTAACGTGGCTTTCCCCCTAACAACCACAAAAAGTGTAACTCCAATACTGTGCCCCTTCAATTTTTCACGTTAGTTTTAAAATGGGATTGTTTAAAATAGGCGAGGCAGTACCTTGAACCAAATCAAGCTTATCAATTGCGTGTACATTTGGCATAGAGACATAGTAGGTGGTGGAATTTACTCCCAAATAGTAGAAGTGGAAACATCACCCGTTAGATTACAGAAATGCTTGCCTACCAGTGGCATCCAGATGGTGTTTGGGGTGTAGGCGTGTGACTATCTGTGCTTCTTCTAGGGGGTGGTATGGTTGAAGATGGATAGAATTCCATCTCTGTGGGACTATGCTTTCGGCCTCTTTGCAGAATATATATTCAGCAGAAACAGAAGCTGGTGCCCACATTAGCATCTCAGACACGCTGTTGGGTGGGCCCACAGGAGTCGTCAGATCAGCGACCTACCAGCCAGCCCAGGCTTAGTTAGGGAGGGGAAAAGCAACAGGGCTCTGTCACCCTGTGAGGATCTCGAGGGGCTGAGCTTCCTAGAGTAACATCCTGTGTGGCTTTCTCTTTCACAAGAAACTGATTCCAAAGATTGAGTTCCTGGACCTGAGTCACAATGGAGTGCTGGTCGTGAACAATCTGCAGGTAATGACCCAGGAGACAGCCTTCCTGCAGCCTCTCACCAGGCCCGTGACATGAGTGCAGGGGGCTGGTACACAGCCTTGTGATGCCGATTAGATGCCAGGGGTTTATAGGTGCAGGTGGTGCCACATTCCCTTTATAGGGTCCTCGTGACCATTGTTCCAGTTCCAAAGAATGAAGATGAGTAAATACAAACTAGGCATGACCAAGGTGGTGCCTCTCTTCTAGAACAGGCTTTCACGGCTCACCCATAGCTACGGGCTTTATCACCCCTGCAATAGGAGAAGGCTCTTTGCTGCAGCTGTGTGAAAGAGGGGCTTCCCTTCCATGTGCCCACGTAGGTTAATAGAGCTGAAGTGCGCAGGTGGGTCTTTTAGTCTAGGAGGCCCATCCTCCTGTTAGTCACATCCCTGTCTTTGGAGACTTGACCCGAGTCCTTTCCCCCCACCCCGGTCACCATGCTGCTGCAGCACCTGTACAACCTCGTCCACCTGGACCTGTCCTACAACAAACTGTCCTCCTTGGAGGGCGTTCACACCAAACTCGGCAACATCAAGACCCTGAACTTGGCCGGCAACCTCCTGGAGAGTCTGAGTGGCCTCCACAAACTCTACTCTCTGGTCAACCTGGACCTCAGCTACAACAGGATCGAACAGGTGAGCTGCACCCCAGGAGCACCCTGAGGCTTCTGTGCCTTGGTGCGATCATTTTTAAGTTCCCCATTCGTTTAAAAGAGGCCCCCAAATGTGTTGTCGTGTTGTTGAAGTGATAAGAGGAGAGACCGAGGGATTGTCCTCGTGCCTTGCAGATGGAAGAGGTGAGGAGCATAGGCAGCCTCCCGTGTCTGGAGCACGTGGCCCTGCTGAATAACCCCCTGAGCATCATCCCCGACTACCGCACCAAGGTGCTCGCCCAGTTTGGGGACCGGGCCTCAGAGGTAAGCTGCTCGTCATGGTACTGGGCCTGGGGAGGTGGCTCCTGAGGAGCCAAGAGGGGCTTGCACCCCTGGAGATGTCTAGACCAAGCCCGTGTCTGCATTCTAGAAGTGTCCTATCCTTGGCTTATGTCATTACCTGGCTTCTGGTGTCAGACCTGGAGTGACATCCAGTGATCACCCTTTGGCTGCAGAAAGGGTGTCTCTCAGCCTGGGAGGGCTCCCTGAGCAGACAGCTGCAGACAAGAAACTGTCAAGAAACTAGCTTCAGCTTTTAAAAAAAGAAACTAGGCTTATTCTGGATGAGGACCAGAAATAAAATGTGTAGAATAATCCTATTGACTTCTGGTCAGAAAGTGCAGTGAGAAGCTTTGTCCCCCTTTGACAACGTGAACCATTGAGATGTGTCGTCCTGTGGGGTATGTCCAACCACCTGCCTTCAGGAAACCTAAAGAGGTGCTTCAGCGGTTGCACCTTGTCTCTTCGCCCTCAAGCAGGCCCCTGTCCCGTTCTTTCCACATCCCAGACCAGAAGGTACACCCAGGGGAGGTGTACCATTTGCATCCCTCCCACCGCTCCATCTTTTTCTGCCCTAGTTGCCCCTTCTTCTACTCTGCTATCCCCCGTTGTTGTTGTTATGTGCCGTCGAGTCGCTTGCGACTCATAGCAACCCTATGCACAACAGCCCTAAACCCTGCTCTATCCTGTGCCAATTACACTGCCTCTGACACACCCATCCCGATTACCCCAGTCACTGAATCAATCCACCTCATAGAGGGTCTTCCCCTCCTGCACCATCCCTCCACCCTCCCAAGCATGATGTCCCTCTCCAAGTACTTGTCTCTCCTTACAACATGTCTAAAGTATGTCAGATGAAGCCCCAGAATCCTTGCCTCCAAGGAGCAGCCTGGTTTAACCCTCTCCAGGATGAATCTGTTTGTTTTCTTGGCAGTCCATGGTACATTCAGTACTCTTCTCCAGCACCATAGCTCAAAGGCGTCAATTCTTCTTCTATCCTCCCTAGTCATTGTCCAATTCTTTGATGCATAACAAGTGATTTGCTGTCCCGAAGGCAGTCTTAATCCATCCTCTCCTTTCCTCCCAGGCTTCAGACCTCAGGAAGCTGTAGAACACACAATTCCCCTCCCCCAATGCCCACGGCTCACTCCTCCACTGTCTGTGTCTGAATCTCTGACCTCCTGGTTTCCCCGCCCAGAAGGCCCTCCCCTTGCTCTGTGATAATCTAAGCTGTGCATTGATTTGGGGGCTTAGTTCAGGAACCCCTCTTCCCCAGTCCCAGTCTTCCACAGGACCCTGCCCCCAATATCTGCCCCTGCTGGGGGACGCCTGAAGACAGGCTGTGCTATGTTACACCCCCTGAGCTGTTCCAGCCGCTCTGAGGTCCCTTCTTGTAGGTGATGAGGCCCTTTTCATCTCCTTGTCCTACACAACCACTACCCGGGGCACCCAGCTTGCCTTCAGCCTCCTGGGTTTTCATGGGACCTGCTTTCAAGCCAGTGATCACACCCACCTCAACAAAGTCCCCTGCCATCCTATGCTCCTGATCCCTACAATTATAGCCATTACCTGGGTTCTCCTTAGGTATGTCTGGACAACACAGCGACCACAGAGAAGGAGCTGGACACTGTGGAAGTACTGAAAGCCATTCAGAAAGCCAAGGAGGTCAAGTCCAAACTGAGCAGCTCTGAGAGGAAGGTGGGTTTACACGAGGGTCGGACTGTGGAGTGAGAACCTGCCTAGGAAGGAGCTGAGGCTCCACAGAACTGGCACATGGCCTTGCTCGAGGCCACTGAACCCTGGCTTGTGACCTTAGCTTGGTGCCCTGTGTGTTCTTATCTGTAAGGTGTGGGGTGACTTTAGTCCCTGTTGTGTGTGGGTGCTATGAGGATGAGGGTCATTTTCATTCTCCTCCTGTGCTTCTGAGAACCACTGAGCTTTCTCTCCTCTCTTGGGCTAACCCCCCTCAGGTCGGCGAGGACTCCCGGCTCCCTGCCAGCCCCTGCATCAGACCTGGCAGCTCCCCTCCCACTGTGGTGCCCACTTCTGCCTCCCTGCCTCAACCCATCCTCTCCAGCCAAGGTAACTGTGTGTACTTGCCTCCCAGGTTCACCCAGACCCTGCCTGGACCTCCTCACTGGATTAGGCTCGGAGGAGAGGTGCTTGTACCTGCCCTGTGGGGTTCAGAAACAGGGAAGGCAGGGTGCCCCCTACAGGCCAGACTCTTTGAGGAGTGGACATAGTGGCAGTGCTGGTGAGGACCTCTGATTAATGCCCACACCCAGTTCCTCTGGGATACCACTGAGTATTAATGGGGTCCTGAGGCTGCCTTTTGAATAGGCCTGGGCTGCTGGTTTATAGGACCTCATGCCTGACGGGCAGTGTGGACCTTATGCCTAACAGGCATTGTAGACCTTATCTCTCACAGGCAGTATAGACCCCCACCCCTCTCAGACAGTGTGAACAGGTTGACTTCACTGTGCCTCCACCGAGCCTGGAGCCCTGCTCTCTCCTGGGGAGCCTTCTGTTGCACTCTGTGGTAGCTCTTGGTATAACCCAGCCCCAGAATGCTGTGTGTAGAACCAGCATGGGGTGTCTGTCCCTGTGGACCCATGGAAGACCGATCCCTTCCATCTGCCCACTGTCTTAGCGTTTTCAAAGAGCTTTCACCTCTGAACCAGGCATCCTCGGAGATGAGTGAGTGCAGCAGGTCCCATGGGAGTGTCTGCCGGCCCGGCCCCACGGAAGAGGGGAGGGTGTGCCGTCCCGAGCAGAGGAGGCTCGGGACACACAGGAAAGAACGCCGCCCGCCCAGGCTCCTGGAGACGCAGCTCTTGGTGTGAGGTCTTGGGAAAACAGTTTGACCCTATGTTTCAAGAGCCAGAAAAACGTTCCTACCCCCTTGACCTGGTAACCCTGCTGGTGGGAGCTTTATCTTCGAGGGAGATGGGGCGGGGGGAAACGGTCATGGCAGCGTTATTTTTGCTAGCAAAGCATGACACATGATAGCCAGTGGTGGATAAGAGGGAGATTAAGCCGTGGTTCCTGGTTCTCCTCTGCGATCCCAGCTTCAGAGGCAGGCTGGGTAGGGACGGGCCAAGTGCTTGACATGAGCCAAAGAGCATGGCACAGAGCCAGGGATCTGACCATAAGGTGCCAAGGGGAGTTCACGGGAACAGAGAGGAGGTGTTAGGGGCCTGAGACGGCCCATTTGTCTTTATTGCACTCTTGACTGAGAACGAAGAAGTTGGTTTTTGCCATTTGTTTTTTTACATGACCATGGGTGGTTTGTGTACCACTGCAGAGAAGGCTTGCCACGGGGTCCCCTCCTCCTTGGGGCCCTATCATCCCCATACTTTTCTGGAGGCTGAGGGGGGACAGCTTGTCTGCCTCAGTTCTCCACTCGACCGTGGGCTTCTAGGACAGGAAGCATCTGGTTCTCGGGCCAGGGACACGGCCGCTTCTCAGTCAGCATTTGTTGAGTGAGGGAGTGAACAGATGAGTGTGTGGAAATCAAGCTGGTTGAGAGTGGACCTCAGACGGGCAGGGTGAGTGTGGCGTCTACCCCCGATGCCACAGCTGCAGGCAGCGCCCCACAGCCTTTTGCACCAGCCCAGGCCGTGCCCCCCGCCCCACCCTCATTCCCTGGAACATTGCACAGAGTGGGTCACTGTAGTCCGTTTCCCCTTGCCCAGTTACTGGACTTTGAGACGCTGTCTCCAGATTTTGCACTTCTCATAAATAAAACTGCAGTGGATGTCTTTGTGTGCACATCTCTTTTTGTGAAAAACAAAAAAAAAGGTCGGGCCCTTGTCTGAGGATTCTCCTTGTCTCCCCTGCCCTGCCCTCGGAATGGCCCTCTTCAGCCACTTGTTTATACAGGCCAGAGTCCAGGAAGGAAGTTGACAGACTGTCCCTATCCACGTTTCCTCATCTCCAAACGGCTTGGAGGGTGAGAGGGTGGTTAATGTCAAGAAAATGCTGTTATTCTTTTCTTTACTGATGTGGCGGTACCCCCAGATTTTCGGTTCTGCTCTGTGTTCATGGATCATTGCCAGAACGGGAAGGGATTTCTCTCATGTAGGAGCAGCTTTGCTAACAGATGCCTGTTGTTGCTTCCAGCCCGGTTCTGTGGGACGTGAACATGCTTGTGACTAAACTGAGCAGTCAGGGGCCTGCCTGAAGAAGGCACTGTCCCGTGGCTGCCAGGCCTCTGGTCCGCGTCTCAGAATACTGGCAGGTTGTGGCTGTAGGGACTGATGTATGAAATGCCAGGGTTGATTCTCAGTTGGGTCCATAGCTAAGAGGAAGCTGTGTAGAGAGGTGACCGGGAGTAGATAACTGAGCTTCAAGGATTCGAAGCCCAGCATCCAACTCCAGACCATGTAACCTCAGTCAACTCAGAGCCTTTCTGAAGTTGTAAGGTGGATACACCCTACTTCATCGACTCTAAGATGCACCTTTCTGCCTTGTGACTTCTCTGAAATTGTGATACATCTTTCAGTCAGTGGCATCTCATAGTCACTGTCAAGCAGCCGATATTCCTGACGGAGTCGTATGAAAACCTTCTGGACAGCTCTGCTAAGACCAAGATGGCGCCACATCCCCGCATCTTAGATTTGATGAAATGTGGTAAATAATGAGAGGGGTGTGTGTGTGTGTGTGTGAGTGAATGCTTGGGAGGCAATTCGCATGGCTCTAGACCAGAAGTAGTGCTTCCCTTTTCCTTATGAGGGGGTGAGGGGAGCGTTTGAAGATGACCAGGATGGTGTGCAGAGGAACTAGGAGCTTGTGGGGAGATGAGGTCGTATCCCTAAAGGAGAGCAGGGCCAAATGATAGGGGTCATTTGTAGGAGAGATGGTGTGTCTAAAGCAGAGAGGGCTTCCTGGGGTAGGTGTCTGAAGAGACTTGAAGGATGGGTGGGAATAGAAGATGGTCCAGAGAACAGTGTAGGCTCGAGCCCAGGGAAGGTGTGGTAGGTGCCATGGCTTGCTGGCGGGTGCCATTGCTTTGCTCCATGCATGGCTGTGTGCTTGTTGGTCTCCTCCCTCTGTACAGCCCTGCTGCTTCTCTCTGTGGGTGTCTGGATGTCGTCCATATGCTTATGTGACGGGCCATCTTGTTCAGGGCAACAGCTGAACAGAACTGAACAAGGGACCCCTGGGGCTCTGGTCACTCCATTGGGCTTTGGTGGCTGGTGGTTAAAGCCTAGCTATGGAATGAAGCCCTCAGCCAGTTGGGGGTCCGTGCCCAGTATACCCCCAACTCGCGGAGGTTAAGAACGCTCTGGAAAAGGCTTTACCCTCAACCAGTTTAGAAAACGTCCGAACGGCCTTGATGTCCCAGAGGTGCTGTTGGCACTGTGTGTCCCGGTGCCTGGGTCAGCGCGGCTGTCTGGGGGGGAGGCTCAGCGGGTGTGTTCTCTGGGAAGTAGGCCTTAGAGGTGCTGCACACAGGTATGCTCACCAGCGCAGAGGAAACTGAGGCCACAGGAAGGTCCAGCCGCCCCAGGTGAGGGACCCTTGTCCTTGCACATCTGTGAAGCTCTGTGCAAATGTCAGTTGGGGTGGTATTTCATTAGGCGTGAACACGTTAAAGGCTCTTGATGGACATATCGCCAAACTGCTCTCCCAGCGGGCAGGTGAGCTGGCCAGCGTACTCTGCCCCATCAAGCCAGGTCTGGGGTCCTGTGAGTGTCACCTTTACCAGGGTAATGGCAGCTGAGCCTCTTGCTCTAACTCTCATTTATTTTATAACTTAGGATGCAGGTGGATGTTTCCTCCCCCTCTGCTTTGTCTGTTGGCCTTTCTGCCTTTGTGGAAATGTCTGTTTATGTCCTTCGCACTGCGTCCTAGTAGGGGTTCCAACCCTCACCAAACTGTTTTTGTACTCTCTAAGAACCTTCGAGAGATTAAAGATAGTCCCCCCCTTTTTTGTTTTTGTTTTTATCAGTTGTTATTAGCGCTTTTCTTCCTCATTTCATTTTCTTTTGATTCTGCTTCAGTTTTCTTTTTCATTTTTCCAAGTTCCTTGGAGGCACACTGCTCTGTTTTCTCCTTTGCATTTGTTCTCGGAATCTCTCCTTCCCCCAAGTTTAAGGATGTGTTTGCTCCTTCTCTGAGGTGTTTGTACATTCACACGTTAACAGCCCCTTCTATAATCCATGTGGCTGGGTCCAGGTCTGCCTAACCCTGGCCGTGCTGGTCACCTCGGCCCAGCCCTGGTGCTTGAATGGCTGCTCTCCCTGCCCCGCCTGCCCCCCTCCCATCCTGGTCTTTCCAGGAATCATGTTCGTGCAGGAGGAGGCCCTGGCCAGCAGCCTCTCATCCACTGACAGTCTGACTCCTGACGACCGGCCCATCACCCGGGACTGCTCCGACTCCCTGGAATCCATCCCCACAGGACAGGTAATGCTGTCCTCCTGTTCTGGGCTGAGCGTTCTGTGCCAGGCTGAATTCCATCTGAGGCAGTCTGGGAGCACTACTCCCAGTGTTTCATGCCCCTGGCTCTCACGCACATTACTGTTACTCTGAGGTGTTTTTAGTTGGAATGACAAGCCCATTATTTAAGGGTCTCTGCTCAGCACCACTCCCCCAGGAGGTCCATGGGAACAGGAATTTTCTCTCTTTGGGCCCTGATTGGTAAGCCAGGTGGTCCTTGAGCTCATGTAAGTTGGGATCTCCTGGGGACAGCAGCCCAGCAGGACTCGGGGTGGGGTGGGAGGACGAACTCCAAACCTGTCAAGAAGAATTTTCTCCATACTGCCTCACCCCTAGAGCAGGGCTCCCCGTTCCTATATGTCACCCCAGTGGTCAAGGACAGCGTGACTGGCACCTCCTCTGTGGTTGCTGATGAGGTTTCCAGACCCCTTCCTTTATACTTGGAAAAAAGGAGGAAGTAGGGTGTGAGAGGTTCACTTGACTGTGGGATGTGCAAGGAGCACATGCCTGGTGTCTGGGCCTCCCTCCGTCAAAAGCCTCGGGCATGGCCATCCTGCCCTAGCCATTTGCAGAGCCCTCACTGCCCTTTGCAGGCCATGCCACACTGACCAAGTTTGCAGAGCCTTCACTCTGTGCCCACTACCCATGGGCACTCTGCCTTTTCAACATCCCAAGGTCATTCAGCTAGTGAGAGGCAGAGGTGGACCTAAGGCCAAGACTGTCCTAAATGTCCCTGCTTCTCAGTGACAGTTGTGATGGCCTGCCAGGTACTGCCACAACAGTTCATTGCATCCTCTTCTGACCACTAAGGGCCAAGACAGTGCATAGACTGTCCACGTGGATCCTCTGGGTGGTATGGGCTCTGGTCTGGGGTCTGGGAGCCAGGACTGGGGTCACTTGGACATGGATGTGTGGTCTAGTCCTGCTGCATAGTTGCAGGGTAATTGGACCATCTGCTTGCCTCTCTGGGCTCAGATCCACCCTAGAATAAAGTGTGGGCACAATATGGAAACAATGGGGTGCCTCCTGGAGCCTGGGCAGTGAGGGAGCACAGGGTACCTGGCTTGGGGTCAGATGCATGGGGAGTGGCTACAGCAGATGGAGAGCTAACTCCCTTCCCTTCTTTTCAGGCCTCTTTCGATGATTTAAGGGATGTGCCAGGAGCTGTAGGTGGGATAAGGTAAGAGCAAGCGTGGGGACACGTTCTAGACCTGGATAGCTGGCTTGTTTGCTGCCCTCTGCCTAGATCTACCTGTGGGCAAGTTATTCTTGATAAAATCTGTTGAGAAGCCCTCCAGAATTAATTTGCCCTTTTGAATAAATACATGTGGAATGGGACCTGGTCTGTTTCCCATTTTCAGCTCCCAGGATGCCCTCATCAACAGTTGGCAGGTCAAGGCCCTTTGGGTCCACAGCCTGTTTTGTGTAGGCCATGAGCTCATGTTTACCTTTTTTGAGGGACCATAAAAAACAGTAATAAAATGATGTGGGTGGGAGTGTCCACAAAGCCTGATATGTCACTCTCTCTCTCCGGCCTTACAGAGGTCATGTTGTTATTGTTGTTGTTATGTGCCATCAAGTCAAAACCAACCCATAGTTAACCTTCCAGTGGGTTTCACATGGGAGATAGTTCCCTTTTTCCCACGGAGCAGTTGGTGGATTTGAAACACATGCCTTTGGGTTTGCAACACAACTCCTTACTGCTAGGCCACCAGGGCTCCATCATAGAGGCCACTGTGGTGAGAAGAGTGTGAGTGTTAATGCAAAGGTCCTAAGACCTGACCCCAGCCCAGCCCCTCGCAGGCCATTGAAAGGGACATGTATGTCCTGTAGTTGTGGGCTTGTGGCCAGCCCTCCCGAGGGGATGAGAGGCCTTTGTGAAGCTTCTGTGGGACTGATGTCTTCAGGGAAAGAGGAGTATAGATGACCAGACTGCTGCTTTAGGAGTGTGGACTGTGACTGTGGCTATTGGCACATAAACTCCCTGCCAGGGCGCTCAGTCAGCTCTTTAGGCCTGGGGACCTGTGGGCTTTCTTGGAACCAGGATCCTGCGGCAGCTCTAACTGTGGGAGGCCAGGGCGCCCCACTCACACGTCACTGACCTGGCCTCTCTCTCTCTCCACAGCCCAGAGCACGCAGAGCCTGAGGTCCAGGTGGTTCCTGGGTCTGGCCAGATCATCTTCCTGCCCTTCACCTGCATCGGCTACACGGCCACCAACCAGGACTTCATCCAGCGCCTGAGCACGCTCATCCGCCAGGCCATTGAGCGGCAGCTGCCCGCCTGGATCGAGGCTGCCAACCAGCGTGAGGAGGGCCAGGGCCAGCAGGGCGAGGAGGATGAGGAGGAGGAGGGCGCCGAGAACCGCTACTTCGAGATGGGGCCCCCCGACGTGGAGGAGGAGGGCGGCCGGGGCGAGGAGGACGAGGAGGAAGACGACGATGATGACGAGGAGCGGCTGGCCCTGGAGTGGGCGCTGGGCGCCGACGAGGACTTCCTGCTGGAGCACATCCGCATCCTCAAGGTGCTCTGGTGCTTCCTGATCCACGTGCAGGGCAGCATCCGCCAGTTCGCGGCCTGCCTGGTGCTCACCGACTTCGGCATCGCCGTCTTCGAGATCCCGCACCAGGAGTCGCGCGGCAGCAGCCAGCACATCCTCTCCTCGCTGCGCTTCGTCTTCTGCTTCCCGCATGGCGACCTCACCGAGTTCGGCTTCCTCATGCCTGAGCTGTGCCTGGTGCTGAAGGTGCGGCACAGCGAGAACACGCTCTTCATCATCTCGGACGCCGCCAACCTGCACGAGTTCCACGCCGACCTGCGCTCCTGCTTCGCGCCGCAGCACATGGCCATGCTGTGCAGCCCCGTGCTCTACGGCAGCCACACCAGCCTGCAGGAGTTCCTGCGGCAGCTGCTCACCTTCTACAAGGTGGACGGCGGCGCCCAGGAGCGCAGCCAGGGCTGCTTCCCGGTCTACCTGGTGTACAGCGACAAGCGCATGGTGCAGACGGCCGCCGGCGACTACTCGGGCAACATCGAGTGGGCCAGCTGCACGCTCTGCTCGGCCGTGCGCCGCTCGTGCTGCGCGCCCTCCGAGGCCGTCAAGTCGGCGGCCATCCCCTACTGGCTGCTGCTCACCCCGCAGCACCTCAACGTCATCAAGGCCGACTTCAACCCCATGCCCAACCGCGGCACCCACAACTGCCGCAACCGCAACAGCTTCAAGCTCAGCCGCGTGCCGCTCTCCACCGTGCTGCTGGACCCCACGCGCAGCTGCACCCAGCCCCGGGGCGCCTTCGCCGACGGCCACGTGCTCGAGCTGCTTGTGGGCTACCGGTTCGTGACCGCCATCTTCGTGCTGCCGCATGAGAAGTTCCACTTCCTGCGCGTGTACAACCAGCTGCGGGCCTCCCTGCAAGACCTGAAGACCGTGGTCATCGCCAAGAACCCGGCCACCATGAGCAGGTCCTGCAGCTCTGTCGGGGGCGGCCAGCCTGCCGAGGCCAGGGCCAGGTGAGACCACGCACGGGCTCTCGGGAACAGGGGCTTGAGGGGAGCATGTGTGCGAGTGAGACTCTTAGACCACGTACAGACAGAGGGTCTCTGGGCATCTGCAGATGGTGCAAGGCCCGTGATTGACCTTCCTCTCCCAAGGCCATTCTGTCCATGTCTTCATAGCTCCTGAGTGCTCTTGACTCTGTACTGGGCCCTGGACTATTATTTCTCTCAGGGTTCTAGAAGAGGCCCAATGCCCTGCCATGCAGAGTTGTACATAGCTAGGCACTAGGCTCCTACCACTAGAGCCCTCATTTGAAGCCCTCAGTCCATCTGGTCTGCCCAGGGCTCTGTTCCGTGGCAGTGGGCTGGCAGGCTGCTCTGATCACCACCCAACCCTGAGACCCAGTGCCCCAGCCCTACCATGTTTGTGAATTCCTGCTGGGAAGAGCTGGACTACTGAGGGTTCCTGTCTTAGATATCATCAAAGGAACCCTACTAGCTGCAGGTGGTAAGGTCTTTTCTTCTGTGGTACATATGAGAAAGGGCCGTTGGTGGCCCTGGCAGCCTGTCCTCCTTCGTCTCTCAGAACCTTCTTCACCAAATTCCTTCAGGGCCCTGGGGCTTAAAACCTTAGACCCTCACAGGTGCCTTCTCCACCTGCTTTTGTTGCCTCCTGGGCTTCAGATTTGCAAGGACTCTGGGAGTCTCTGAGTGGTGCTCACAGTTAATAAGGAGCTTGGCTGCTAAGTGAAAAGTTGGCAGGCCAAGCCTTCCAGGGGGAATCCCTGGAAATAAGGCTTGTTGATCTGCTTCTGTTAACACTGTGGGACACTGTTCAGCTCTGACACACACGGGATGCCATGGGTCAGGAGTTCATCACCGCTGTCATCCACCCCCCAGGAAGCAATCTCTGTCAGTTCCAGCCCCTGAGAAGCAGACACCATCCTCCTTCCCTGGCTGTCCTGCCCACCACCGCCCTCGTCTTCCCTGTGACCTAAACTCCCGTCTGGTGCTCCCTCCTAGTCTCTCAGGACCAGCTCCATGGAGAACCCCAAGTGCCCTGGGTGCACCAGAGCAATTTATGCCCCATGTGAATGTCCCCTGTGCTAAGCCTTCAGTGGGGGATTAAGTGCAAGCTCGGGTCTAGATATGACTGGGTGCAATTAAGAAGACAACATAGGAAAGACTCCACATGGAATATATAGGCTGGTTAGTGAGGCTTGGGCTTCCTCAGCCCCAGCTGCCTTCCAGAGTTATACGTACCAGTTTGATCTTGTGCACGAAAAAAGAATCCACTGTGGTCATGTGCTGTGGTGACTGGGTGGGATGGGGGCCTGGGCCACCAAGAGAGATTCCAAATGGTAACTAAGGAACAATTTCTCAGTGGTTAAAAAAAAATTGGCAACTGGGGAACAGCACCTTCTCAGAATGGATGTTCATTCTTTTGGCTAAAATCTGACCACCACATGTGTCCAGCAGGCTTGGCCCTTGGTGCCAGACTAAGCCCACCCTACCCCAGTGGCTTGTCCCCCAGCCCAGAGGTGGGAGTGCTTCCCCTCGAGGTTCTATCCTCCTTCAGGAAACTTGGTGACCAGGCTACCCTCACATTAGAGTGTGCACATATTGTGATTGTCTGTTGGGAGTCCTTATATTAATGTGATGTTTCTTGGGGGATTGGTTGGTACAGCAGTGACCAGTGTCCCCAAGGGGCCTCAGCAGAGGTCTCAGCTCCAGCAGAGGCCCCAGCACAAGCTCCCGGGGAAGTGCCGGCTCCAGGTCCAGCAGAAGCCCCAGTTCCAGTAGAAACTCCTGCACCAGTGCCAGCTCCAGCTGCAGTGGCAGCAGAGGCCCCCGCACCGGTTCCAGCAGGAGCCCCAGCGCCAGCTCCACCAGAAACCCTGGCCCTGGACCCAGAGGCAGCTCCAGTGGAGGCTCAGGCACAGGCTCCAGAGGATGCCAAGACACCAGGCCAGGAGAAGACCCCAGCAGGCACCCAAGCAGAGGGTCCAGCACCAACTCCCATGAAGGCAGAAGCCCCAGTACAGGATCCTGTGGAGGCAGAAGCCCCAGTGCAAGACCACGTGGAGGCCGAAGCCGCAGCAGAGACCCCGGCACCAGCGGAGGCCCCTGCCCAGTACCCAAGTGACCAGCTGATCCAGTCCACGTCAGAGGAGAACCAGATCCCCTCCCACCTGCCCGCCTGCCCATCACTGCGGCACATCGCCAGCCTGCAGGGCAGTACCATCATCGACTTCTTCCACAGCAGCATCGCTGAGGTAGCCGGGCTGGGGCACGTAATGCTGACCTGCACTAGTGTAGAGGGAGGGTGGGTTCTGGTTCTGGCTGCCGCTGGGCTGGGGCAGGGTTTGTCTTCAGGTAGCCTCAGGTACTTTGGCTTCCCTGACATGGAACAGTCACTTGATGACTTGGTGTTCAAGGCTCTGGGTAGAGAAGTTACTGGGCTGCCCACCCTTATCCAGCTGCCCCCGTCTCTCACATCCCCCTTTGGCCCAATGCATACCCAGCCCTCTGAGCTGACGGTGGTGCTGGGCAGGGGATGAGCTGTCCAGAGCTGCTTTCCAGGTGTGGTCTGAACGTCAGGGGCATGTCCTTCACCTCTCTGCTTTCTACAGCCCCTGACCCACCCTCTCTCTGCAGGTGGAAAACGAGGAGCTGAGGCACCTCATGTGGTCGTCCGTGGTGTTCTACCAGACGCCGGGACTGGAGGTGACCGCATGCGTGCTGCTGTCCACCAAGGCCGTTTATTTTGTCCTGCACGATGGCCTGCGCCGCTACTTCTCCGAGCCTCTGCAGGGTGTGTGTGCACCAGGAGTGTCAGGGAGGGGCGGTGTGCACTGGGAGCACAGGCCCCCCACCTGCGAGGGAACAGGGTATGACAGCACTAGTGCCTGGGAACCAGCCAGGATGACAAGGGACTGGACGGCCGCTGCCCCTGGGGCCTCACTGGGAGCTTTGGCTTTTGGCCTGTGCAGGACTCACTGAGCTGGATGCAGCTCAGACCCCAGATCTCATGGTGCCAGGAGGCAGTGGTGGCTTGTTGTCAGGGTACATTCAACAGGCCAGGCCTGCCAAGAGGATAGTTGCTCTTGTGGACAGTGCCAAATGCCCGGGACTCTTGAACTCACTTGTCCTGGGTCCCACCCAACTCAACCCATTTCTCTCCATCACAGATTTCTGGCATCAGAAAAACACCGACTATAACAACAGTCCTTTCCACATCTCCCAGTGCTTTGTCTTAAAATTCAGTGACTTGCAGTCCGTCAACGTTGGGCTATTTGACCAGTATTTCCGGCTGACAGGTGAGTGACCCCCTGTGGCCAGCCCATTTGAGGTGAAGGCAGGGGTCACTAGCAGGCTCTGCCTTCCACGTAGGAGCCCACCATCAGGGGCAGACTTCTCTCTCTGCTCATAAGCCCAGTAGCCGAGCCAGGAGGAAGCCGCCTGTGGAACTGCTGAGAGTGCAGAACTCGCCCCAAGTTGGGAGAAGGAGGCAGGTCACACGGCAGCTTCACGCCCAGACAAGCCGTGAGGTGCCAGGCAGGCAGGCAGGCAGGAGAGAGGGCCTGGGTTCCCGGGGCAGGATGTTTCTGACTCACACTTCCTGCAGAGAGAAAGCTAAGCTCTTTCCCTAATGCCATATCCCCTTCCAGAAAAATGTCACAGCCCTTCCGGCTGGAGAGTGGCCGTCTCCCCAGGCCCCAGCCTTGCTGCCCACGTGAGCCCTCTTGGCCCTGGTCTTATCAGTTTGAACCCAGGCTGAGACTTGCTGGAGACTCAGAGTGGCTCTTGGCAGGTGGGATAGAGACAGGGTTGGAGGGTCAGAGGTCCAGACCCATGACCAGCGTCCTCTCTCGCACAGGCTCTTCCCCCGCGCAGGTGATCACGTGTTTGACAAGGGACAGCTACCTGACACACTGCTTCCTCCAGCACCTCATGGCCGTGCTGTCCTCGCTGGAGCGCACACCCTCCCCTGAGCCTGTCGACAAGGACTTCTACTCTGAGTTTGGGAACAAGAGCACAGGTACCCTGGACAATGTCAGGCTCCAGAGAAACCCTGTACCCCAGGACCTGCTCTATTTCTGTCTCCCTCTTGCTTTTTCTCTTGTCATTTTTATCACTTGACTGGTCAGAGTTTTCTGTGGGGTTTTTCCATGGCCAGGTCGCCATCCCAACAAACACCACTCACTTCAGTGCACACATCTCCAGGGTCTGTTCTGATCAGATAGAAGCTCATGCTGGGATCTGGATGACATAGGGTCATGATGCTCCCAGCTCCACCGCAAGCCGGTCACAACTCCATAACCCCTAGTGGCCTCTCTGTCTGCAGGCAAGATGGAGAACTACGAGCTGATCCACTCAAGCCGCATCAAGTTCACCTACCCCAGCGAGGAGGAGATCGGAGACCTGACATTTATCGTGGCCCAGACGGTGGCTACAGAGGAGCAGGCGCCAGCACTCAGCATCCTGCTGTACGTGCAGGCCTTCCAGGTGGGCCCTCCGCCCCCGGGGCGCAGCAAGGGCACGCTGCGCCCCAAGACGCTCCTGCTCACCAGCGCCGAGATCTTCCTCCTGGACGAGGACTACGTCAACTACCCGCTGCCAGAGTTTGCCAAAGAGCCGCCACAGAGGGACCGGTACCGGTTAGACGACGGCCGCCGTGTCCGGGACCTGGACCGCGTGCTCATGGGCTACCAGACCTACCCGCAGGCCCTCACCCTCGTCTTCGATGATGTGCAGGGCCACGACCTCATGGGCAACGTCACCCTGGACCACTTCTCAGAGGTGCCAGGGGGCCTGGCCGAGGCAGGTCAAGGCCGTGAGGTCCAGTGGCAGGTGTTCGTCCCCAGTGCCGAGAGCCGAGAGAAGCTCATCTCTCTGTTGGCTCGCCAGTGGGAGACGCTGTGCGGCCGGGAGCTGCCTGTTGAGCTCACTGGCTAGCTGGGCGCACAGCCCTTACCCCCTGCTGGGGCAGGGAAACAGGCTTTCTCTGTTCTTTTTAGAAGTGTTTTCTTCTCTCCTTTGGTCCATTTATTTGACTGTGTGTGCAGAGTGGTGAACCACCTGGGTTCAGTTCATTCTTTCCAGTCCTGGGGTCGGGCCGCCAGTGCCCTTCAGCCTTCCCCAGGCGTGCTGCCAGCCGCAGCGTGGCATGGCTGGGCACACCAGTGCTGTGTCTTTTGTCGTGGGACCGTGTTAAACAAGTGGCTCCGTGGATCTGTTTCTCTTTTACATATCCTTTCTGAAGTGTCGCATCTAGTCCTTTGTTGCTATTGTCATTGTTGGCACTTTGCTGCTAATCATGAAGCTGGTAGCAAAATGCACATGAGAAGCTCCCACCTGCACTCTCTGCCAGAGTGGAAACCTCCCTGGTCCAGATGGGTGGAAGGGCCCCACAGGGGGCTGGGAACCCCCAGGCTTTGGGGCTGAAAGCGAAGGGGTCAGGGGACCTAGAGCTGCCAGCTCCCGGCGTGATTCCTGTTGCCTATTTTCTCTATACCAATAAAGCAGAGTTTGACACAGTTTGAGTCTTTGCGTTCATAGTTGTGAAGGAGAGAGCTGCCCTGGATGCACAAGAGGGCAAGGTGGTTGTGGGGAAAGAATGAAGGTGGGGATGTGGGGTGGAAGATGATGAAAGTGGCCTCGCTGGGCCAGAGAAAGCTGTTGGGTGACTGTAGGTGACACTGAAGCCAAGGGTGAAAGATGGGGGGGGCACCCCTTCCTGGACCGTGCTGGCTACCCATAACATGTAAGCCAAATGAGAGGTACATGAAAGTAAAGTAAGTCCTCAAGGCACAGCCCACTGCCCAGCCTGCACAGAGGTGACCCTTCCAATGGGACCTACTGACCATATCACCCTGGCCCAAGACCACCTGAAGCTGGTGCCTGACCCATAACTGATCCTCCAGTGGGTTTTTAGAGGCAGTAAATTGCAAGAGAGGAAACTGCCCATTGGAGCAGCTGGTAAACTCAAACTGTGTGCCTTTGGGATTGTAGTACAGCTTCTTACTGTGTTTGTCATTGTTCTATGCCATTGAGTTGCTTCTGACTGACTCAGCGACCCTGCATACAACTTTGAACGCTGCTCTATCCTGAACCAATCTCATTGTCTCTGACACAAGTACCCCCATTTACCCTAGTCACTGAGTCAATCCATCTCATCCAAGGTCTTCCTCTCTTGCACTGTCCCTCCACCCTTCCATGCATGACATCCCTCTCTAAGAACTGGTCCCTCTGCAACATGCCCAAAGTATGTCAGATGGAGTTTCAGAATCCTTGTCTCCAAGGAGCAACCTGGTTTCACCCTCTCTAGGCAAAATCTGTTTGTTCTTCTAGCAGTCAGTTCAATACTCTCTTCTCCAGGGCTACAACTCAGACATTCATTTTTCTTGTCTTCTTAGTCATTGTCCAGCTCTCTGATCATAGCATGTAGTAAGACCCAGCCTAGATAAGGTGCACCTTAGTCTCCAGACTGACATTGTTGCTCTTCAGTACTCTGGAGAGGTCCCTGACAGACCAAAACCCACAGCTAACTAGGTAGCCCTCTGTCAGGTTTCTAATACTCGAAGTCTTCACAGGAGCAAATGGTTCACCTTTCCTCTGTGGAGCAGTGGGTGGATTTAAACCGCCAACCTTTTGATTAACGGCCTGACATGTCTTGCCTAGACTTTAGGGTTGCAGGGAGTACAGGGAAAGCCCTGAAGACAAACGAGAGGTGGGAGTCAGATTTTAAAGGGGAAAGAGGAGGGTCTTCAGAGAGGAAGGGCCACCTCAGAGACCCCTACTGCAGTAAGACCATCTGTGAGTGGACATAGTGACAATCAGGGACCTGGCCCCACAAACTTGACACCGAATGACCTTAGACAAGTTACCTGGCACCTCTACCTCAGTCTCTCACCAGTAACAGGGAACAACAACAACAAAGTTACTTTTTTTGACTTGTTGCTCAAATCCATGTTGAGCCTCTATCATGAGCTCCAGCCAGACCAACACAAGTGAGCCAGGGGAGTGGTGGCCTTCGGCCTGAGACAACCTCACAGGACATGTGGAGGTTAGGAGCGAAGAGGCTGGAACAGTGCGAGGAAGGAAGGCCAGAGAAGCCCATGCAGGGGGCAGCTTCCAGGTCTCAACAGACAAATGGGGAAGGGAGAGGCTTGGCGGCTGAGAGACCACCGCCGAGGCTGTGTGCAGCGAGAGGATGACAGTGCACACGGGGGTCTGGAGAGCAGGAGACCATCCGAGCACGGGGCAGGCAAGAGGATGCGCCAGAGCGTGGGCTTAGCGGCACACCTGGCAGAGCCCTGAAATGCCCTAAGCAGCCGCAAGACATGAGAAGATAGGCACAGACAAGCTAACTTGGGGGGCTGCCCCAACCCCCAAGTGGTGATCCCCACAGAACCTCTGAATGAAATGTGGGGCTTGGCACAGAGATGGAATGAGGAACTGTTTAGATTTACTTTTGCTTTGGAACCTCAGAGAAATCCCAGGCATGTGGGCAAACAGCGGGCCGGGGGCTGCGCAGCCAGGAGGAGAGTCGGGGCGGTCCACGCAGGGGTCAGGGGCAGCGCCTTCCCTTCCGCCTGTAGGTTGCTGATATGAAGGAGGAAATCCTGGTGGGTTCCTGTGGGGGTGAGCCTCGGGCTTCCGGGATGCTTTTAAGGGGACTGCCCGCCCTGTGCCTGCCTCCCAGAGCTCATTCCCCACTGGGCCACCCGACTGTCTGGGACAGTGCCTTGCCAGCCGCCAGCGGCCATGGCTGGGCCTGGAGGCCTCCTCCCGCTCTGCCTTTTAACCTTCTGTCTGGCAGGCTCCACCAGCTTCATGAGCGAGCCAAAGGTGAGTGAGTCAAGTTGCAGCCGGCGGTGGGATCCAGGCCCTTCTGGCTGGTGGTGGGAGGGACCATACATGGATCAGGCACAGATCTGGGGACATACAGGGTGCCTGCCTAGTGCCTGTTGGATGGTCTCTAAGCATATCAGGCTGGAGTGTCAGTGAGTGTCAGTGTGACAAGGCGAGGTAACAAGGGGTATCAGATTACCTCTTCTAACACTGCTGGACCAACCAGCTATGTGAAGTGCTCCTCCATCCCAGGGCTCTCTAGCCTGAGGGGAAGCGGGATCAGAACCAGGCGCACCTATCCTCCCTTGCTCAGAGAGGCCCAGGCCTCTGTGGGGTCCTCATCCAGGGACTAGAGATAAGATCACACACCCAGCCCTCAGGTATCACAAACTGAGAGACACCCCCCGCCCCAGAGACCAGGTATACGTCTGCTGGGAGTGTGTGCACAAGCGAGAGTGTACCCCAAGAGTGCCCTAGAGGGGCATGAGAACTCACCCCCAGATGCTTTGGGAAAATAGATAACACCCTTTCTCCTAAACGTACTCAACTCAAGGCCCTGGGAGCAGCCAAGCCCGAAGGATGGTGGACACAGATCACCTCAACTCTAGAGCAGTGCCCCAGACTCTGCCTGCCTCTCCCCTGCTCCCTTTGGGGTCCAGCTGTGGCATGTCTGGTCACTGTCAGGTCCTGTGGGCCAGCCACCTCCGGGTAGCCTATATGCAGCTTACCAAGGACCACTAGTAAGGACATCATCCCTTGGAGCCTCTGGAAGAGCCTTCCGCCTGAGTTTACAGAGAGAGTCCCCCAGAAAGGCCCTAGGAGCCAAGATAATCATCAGGGTCCCGGGGCAGCTGCTACTGTCCCCAGGATATGCACAGGATGACTGAGGTCAAAGGAGAAGGGCATGCCTAAGGCTCCCAGTACCAGGCAGTCCCAGGACAGGAACCCAGACCTCCTGTCACTATTTCCCTGTGTCCTATGTGGGGAGAGCGACATTCACCAGGTCAGATTTGAGGACAGGCAGATGTGGGCCTAAGAAGACATTAGTGATGGTGCAAGAACCTAAGGTGCCAGCCCTCTCCAGGCTCCAGTTTCTCCGTATGCGCAGTGCAAGGAAAACGCAAAGGGCTCACCATTTCTCTTATTCTGAGACAATGGGAACAGGGTCAGTGAGGGGCCTCCGATGGGGTTTTCACTTCTTGGTGACCAGAGACTTTGACACTCACTAACCTCCACTCTGGGGGCTGTGGCTGAGCCAGCCAGGGCTGGGTGTGTGTGGGGGTGTGTGTGTACGCGCGCACACACAGGAACACACATGGGACAAGGTGGAGAGGGACACTGTCCTTGTGAACAAGAATGCAGCAATGCTGGCCTCACTTCTCCCATCATGACAGTCACTCAGCCCTGTTGGCACCTTTTATAGCATGAGGCCCACTACAAATATGGGGAAATAAAGGCTCAAGAGTATCCCCTGTGGAAATGAAGGTGCTTGGGTATCCCCTGTGACACACAGCCAGAAAGGTGCAAGAGCGAGACTGGGAAACATGTAGATTCAGGCAGGAGAGGCAAGGAAGGCTTCCTGGAAGAGGCGGTCTTAGGACTCGTTTACTCAGCATCCTTGTATGAAGCACCTGTCTTGTGCCAGATGTGTGCTGGTGAAGCCCAGACCCAGCCCCTCCACTCTGCTGGGTGGGGAGTAGCTGAGGGTCTTTCTTCTCTGAGAAAGCCTTGGAACACTAAAGCTTGTTTAGGAATATTCCTTCCACCACCAACCCTCTGTGCAATTGTTCACTACAAACAGATTTCTATGTGAAGCACAAGTAATTCGTGTTTATTTTGCTTATTGGTGACCCACCCTGACCAGGCTTCATACTTCACTCTTCGACTTCCCCAGGAGCATCTTTGCGGGAAGCAGATGATACAGCATCACTTCTGGGAGCTGGGCGAGGGGTGGGCGAGCGCGCATCGTGGCTCAGTCTGGTCATTAACAATGAGGCACGGCTGCTAAGGAAAGTGCGCGGCTGGGGTAGGGTGCCAAGAGTGGCATATGTTGACTACAGGCTTATCTGTCCATCTCCATTTCACACTCCCAGACAAACCCTGACAAACAATGACATCCCCTAAGTGGGTGTCCACCGCAGGGACCCAGAGCCCCAACTTCCTCCACCGCCATGCTGAGCCTATCACTTCTTCCAACCAGCCGAAGCCGTGGTTAGTGGTGACCTCAGAGCCCTGCCCGTGGCCTGGTGGCTCCCAGCAAAGCTGCTCTGGGCGACTTCCCTGTTTGCTGACCGCAGAGGCAGGAATGGAAGAGTCTAAATCACAGCATCTGTGGGGGGTGGAAATGGGGATGTGCTGTGACTCACACCCCCCAGAAGAAAGGGTCTGGCCTGCATTTCTCCTTTGCTGTCCTTTGAGAAGCTTAATGTCTGAAATTTTTTCTAAGAAAGTGATTTCCTGGCCTTTGGGTCACAGAGTGTTGAGCATTTTTCAAGATGAGTCCACCTCACCCACTCTAAGCTCTTCCCTAACCCCCTTAAATCTGCCCCCCTCAAAGTGCCCCTTCACTATGCCCATTCTCTTACTACACCATGGCTTTAGGTGCAGGCCTTTAAGGACACATGCTAGGCAGCTGACCTTTATTATGCTGTTACATACCATCGAGTCAGAACCCACACATAGCTGTGCCTACAATGGGTTTTCAGAAGTGGTAAATCGCCCATTTTTCTTCCGCGGGGCAGCTGGTGCATTCAAACTGTGTGTCTTTGGGTTGACAGTGGCGCAATTCCTTACCACTCAGTCACCAGACCTCCCTTGAGCAACACATATTTGAGCTGCTGGAACCCACTTACAGGGGGACTTTTCTTCCTGTTTCTATTGTGGTGACAATGTTGCTGTGAGTTCTAGTGATGCGTCCACTTAGATCACCGTCCCATGCCGTCACCTCAACGTGAGCAGTGTCTCTGGTAGGAATTGCTCAATGGGGCATGAGCGTCTTAAGCAGATACTCTCAACACTTGAGTTCCCGGTAATAGCAACGGGTTGGGGGTGTGGGCAGAATCTGCATGCAAGTGGGCCTGTGTTGAGAACTCTGGTGGCCTAGTGGTGAGAAATTGCTCTGTCTACCCAAAGGTACGTGGTTCAAATCCGCCAGCTGCTTCATGGGACAAAGATGGGCAATCTCCTCCTGTGCAAGTAACTGCTTCTGAAAACCTGCCGGAGGGTCAGCCATGAGTCCATCCCAACTCAGTGGTACGCAGCAACAAGTGGGCCTGACTGTTCAAGGGCCAACTGTAGTTTGCTGGAACTTTGTTGCTGTAAAGGGGACCCTGCTAGCGTGTAGAGCCATGTCACGGTGGCTTTCACACACCTCCCATCACACCCACAGGGCCTCCCTTCCATCAGCAGGAACGAGGGGCTGACCCCTCTGCCCACTCATGCCATTGCTTCCAAGTCCTATTGATACCACTTCTCTATCCATACCTGGGCCCTGGACATCCCCAGTTCTCGCCTGCCTCACCTCTTTCACTGTCCCACCTTCATTCTAGGGGAGCTCTGGGGGCATAGTTAAGCTGCACTGTTAACCCAAAGTCTTCACTTCTCTAATGGTTCAAATCCACCAGGTGTTCCATGGGAGAAAGCGGGACAATCTCCTCCCACACAATTTACAGCCTCAGAAACCCACTGCAGGGTCAGCTGAGAGTCGGTTCCAACTCAACAGCAATGAGAGTGACGAGGGAGACCTTTACTCTATTCTTCGCACAGCAGGGCCCACTTCAAACCCAAAAGGCCTCTCGAACTGCCCCCACCTCTGACTCACTTGCCCGTGCCTCGCCCCCTGGCCTCTCTGCATGATAGAGACTGCAGCTCCTTTCTGGGCCTTTACTCTACTGCTTCCCAACTCAGCTGTCACCTGCCCTGGGAGGTTCCCTGGGCAGCTGGCTCCTCCTGGTCTGTGTGCAAGGGTAGCAGCCCAGACCTGGAGCCAGTTTGTCTCCACGGGGGTCCTACAGGCGCTCCTGTGCATGCGTGTTCCCCCAGCCCCCGTGCCTGTGAGAGATGGTGCCTGGATGGGTGTAGGCCTCTATCTGTGTGTCTGTGAATCAAAGCTGGGTGAGTTAGTCTCCTTGTGGACAATGTTAGCCACATCAGTTACTTGTTATACATGAAGGCAAGACCAACACTAGGCCAACACTAGAGTTCAGGCCCCTAATTCTGATCACTGGGTGAGTTAGGCAGGGCCAAGCGCCCTGGGTCTCAGCTTCCGCACCTGAAATGGGCAGAGGTGTAAAAAAAAAAACCCCAAAAAAAAAACCCAAAAAACAAAAACAAACACCTGGCTGAATTTCCTTCATATTGGAAGAGATAGACTTGGACTGTGGGGCATGTCTAGAAGTGTGAGCAAGATGACATCTGTGGACAAAGAAAAGCCCCTGGCTATGAGCAAAGGGACGTAGCTGGAGTGGTAACAGCTCATGACAGGCAGGATCCTCCAGTCCCTCAGGCTGTCTGCATTCTCACTGCATCATCCCCATTGAATGGGTGGAAAACTTGGGCCCAGGGAGGGGTGACAGGACTCAGCAGGACAGCGACAGGGCCAGGCCCCTCACACGGACTCCCGGTACCCCCACCCACCAGGTGCGCTCCAAACGCTGTGACACGAAGACCAAGTTTTTCACCCACACAGCGTGCATCCCATGCACCACCACCGGGAGGCGGATGTGTCCCCTAGGCTGGAACCGGGAGTTTCCTGAGAAGATTTCCCGGGACTGCAGGTACAGACTCCTAGACCTGCCCTCATCCGCTTCCAGGAGCATTCTGAGTGGTGACAGGGGACAGGGAGAGTCCTAACAGGCTTGGGGGCTTCTGCCCTTGTCTAGGACAATGCCTGGGCCCTGTAGTGGGACAGGGATAGGTGGGAGGGAGGCGTTGGAGGACAGAGGGCCAGACAGTGTTTCTTGAGTACCTAATATGTGCCGGGCCTACTATGTGCAGCCCTCTGGGACTGAAAAGAGAAGGAAAGTGGGATAAGACAGTGGGACCCAGGCAGGGAGCTGGGGTGGGGACTTCAGCGGGAGCCCTTCATGGCCTGCTGTCCACTACCACCCCAGCTACGAGGTGCACCTGGGGGAAGCCATGCTGTCCATAAAAGGCTGCAGACAGGAATGCTGGAAGGAAGAAGTACAAGAGGCCTGCTGCCCTGGCTACTGGGGACCGAAGTGCTACGGTACAGGGACGAGGGGGTGGAGTTGCCCCAGCCCCAGAGTCTCCTCCCACACCATCTGCAGGCGCTGCCTGTATGTCCTTCCACGTGTTCATTTCATGAGTATTTACTGAGAGCTCCAAGGCTTGGCCACTGGCTCTGCCTGCCCTGAGTTTAGGGCCAGCCAGAACTGGGGTATCCGAAGTGAATCTGGGGTTCTGAGGGTACAGCTGAGTTCTGGGACTCCACAGAGTGTCCCGGGGGAGCTGAGACCCCATGCAATGGCCATGGGACCTGCCTGGACGGCCTGAGCAGGAATGGGACCTGCGTGTGTGAGGTGAGAGCGGAGCTGGGGGGCAGGTTTTGAGTGGTGGTGGGCTGAGCTGACTCGGGACAACCCCTTGCTAGGAAAACTTCAGTGGCTCAGACTGTCAGGAGTGTCGGGATCCTGGCCGGTTTGGGCCTGACTGCCAATCTGGTGAGTGAGGGAGAACAGAAGGGCAGGGTGGGCATCTGGGGAGCCAGCCCCTCTGGTCCAGCCTACCTGTCCTTTCAGCTTCCCTCTCAGCCCCTCACTGGCCCCTTCAGGAGCACACACGGAGCTCTGTCAGGAGCTCTCCAGCAGCAAGCCCTCTCTGACCCCCAAGTTGGACCACGTGCCCCCTCGGGCTCCCACAGCCTCTTGGGGTAGTCCTGGCCAAGGCTGAGATCCTGCTGTTCCTGTATGTCCCCTGCAGTGTGCGGCTGCGTGCATGGCGTATGCAACAACGGGCCTCGTGGGACCGGGAGCTGCCTGTGCTTTGCTGGCTACACCGGGCCTCTCTGTGACCAAGGTGAGCCAGGCTGCGGGGGCGGCCTGGGTGCCTCAGTGGTCAGGACAAGGAGGGAGACTGCGTCAGGGGTGGGTGTGAGCCCCAGCAGGAACTCTGCCCAAGGCCTGATTTCCTTCTAAGAAAAGATGCAGAAGTGGTCATTGAGGTTGTCACCCAAGGTCTCCACTGTCCAGAGGCTCAGAGAAGGCAAAGCCTTATCCAAAAACACACAGCAGTCAAGGCTGAACCAGAATGCTGCAGAGGCCACAACCTACCCCAGGGATCCTCCCCAGCCTGGGGTCTGACCATTCAGTGTCCTGTTCTCTCTGCCCAGCGGTGCCGGCCTGCCAGCTTCTGCAGTGCCCCAAGAACTCACAGTGCTCTGAGAAGGTCCCCTCCTGCCAGTGTCTGCCCGGCTACACCAAGGAGGGCAATCAATGCCTAGGTGAGCCTCGGACCTCCTGGGCACCAGACACCTAGCTTTTGGTGGACAGATACTGGGAAGAAGTGCTGTTAACTCAGCAAGTGCGGAGCACGCTCTGTCCCCAAGGGAGGGTAGAGGGCCTGTCTTCATCCACCATCCACTCACCCTGCTCTCGGCCTCTATGCTAAGAGCTGAGCAGGAGGCAGGGCCCTGGTGTCCAGCTCACTGGACATATGCTCTGTGTCTTGACAGCCCCTGATCCCTGCCAGCCACAATCATCACCCTGCTCCCCGAAAGCCCAGTGCTCAGTGAGCCCTACGGGGAAGGCCCAGTGTCACTGCCAGGAGGGTTACAATGGCAACGGGAAGGTGTGTTTGCCTCATGACCCGTGCTCTGTCAACCACGGGGGCTGCCCCAGAAACACCACGTTGTGCATGTCCCATCAGCCAGGCAAGGTGAGCTGGAGCTGGATGGACACCCTAAGTCCCTCTCAAGAATCCCTGCCCACCTCCCACCAGATTGACCACTCACAGTCCACTCACACATGGCCGCCCCACCCCCAGTTCCCTCCCCAATCTGGATTCGGGGGCCCTGGCATGTTACAGTCCCTTCATTTCCTCTATTTGTAAAATGAGGAGAGAACCCTATTCTTGGACCATGGATGCGTGGGTCCGGCAGGGCTCCGTGGGCATGACACCAGCTTTTCTCACGGATACAATGTCACCTTCCCATGCTTGGCGGCCCAGGCCTTCTGTTCGTGTAAGCCTGGACTGACTAGCAGGAACTTCAATGCCTCCGCTGGTTGTTTCGCTGTCTGCTCCCCTCACACCTGTGCCCGGTCAGCCACCTGCCGGGTGACCCCCGAAGGGAAGACCAGGTGCACACAGGGGCCTCGGGGCCTAGGGAGGCAAAGCGAGAAGGGCTGGTGGAGGGCAGGGTACAGGGTCTTGGCCTGGTGGAGGGCCTGCCTGACAGCTCTCTCTGTGCCCCCAGCTGCATATGCAAAGAGGGTGAGGTGGGAAACGAGTATTCCTGCTACAGCCACCTGCTCCACGAGATACAGAAGGCCAGCCAGCCGGGCCTGGTGCTACTGCGTCTGAAAGCCGCCCTCAACATGCTGAGTGAGCCCCGCTGGCTACCCTGACCCGGTCCTCACATGGTGGGGAGAGAAGGAGCATACTGGGGATCCCTGGTTCTGCTCAAGGCTTCACAATCAAGAGTTGGGGGCTAATTGACCTGCCCCCAACTCAGGTCATAATCCTTCTTCTCCTCCTCGAGATGCTGGGCCTCCACCCTACCTGCCCCACACCTAGAATGAGGCTCTTCCCAGGCTGTCCCTCGGGTTCACTCTGACCCACCCTCTCCCTGCCCCCAGGTCAGGGCTGCAAGGAGCTACTCACTACATCTGGCCCATTCACTGTCCTCGTGCCTTCAGTCATCAGCTCCTTGAAGGACATGAACGTGAGCTCTCCCCACCCTCCAGGTGTCACTGCCCTTGCCTCCCCTCCAGGAGGATCCTAAGCAAGGCCCCAGACCATGTTAGGGGAATTCTGTCCCCTTCATTGCTTGGGTAGGGGCAGCAGGGAGAAGCCTGCCCTGGGCTCACCGATTTCCCCCGGCCCTGCAGACGTCCTTTGCCCAGCAATTGTGCAGACAGCACATCATCGCAGGGCAACACATACTGGAGGAGAAGTTCTCACTGACACAGACACAGACACAGGCACAGACACAGATACAGAAACAGACGTGGTGGACCCTGGCTGGGCAGCTCATCACTGTCTCCTTCAACCAGTTCACAGTAAGGGAGAGGACCTTAGCCCGGGGGTCCAGGCCTCACAGACAAGACAGCCCCAACAAAGGTACAGGGGCAGAAGGAAGCCTGTGTGATCTGAGCCAGCCTTCTCCTGCCACAGCGCAAACACGTCTACGTGTATGATGACCAGCCCCAGAAAAAGCTCAACTTCATCAGAACCAACTATGCAGCAGCCAATGGCATTTTCCATCTGGTCAGCACCCTGCGGTTGGACCCCCCCACAGGCTTTCCTGGGGACCCCGAGGTGAGCTGGTGCCCCCGTGGGTGGCCTCGGATACCTTTAGGATCCAGAGAGGGGCAGCTCTGGGCAGGACTGCAGAGGAACCCTTTCCCCTTCCTGCAGAGAACGATCGGCCGGATCCTCGCCTCCACTGAAGCCTTCAGTCGCTTTGAGACCATCCTGGAGGTAAGCAGGGGGTGATGTCCTCACCCACCTTGGCTGACGAGCCAGGGCATCGTGTCCATCAGCCTGGGCTTCACTTTAATGCCGAGCTTCTGCAGGAGGGGGGGACCCACTGCTGGTGTCTTCCCACCTCCTCCTGGTGGGAGCTCCCTATGGGCTGAAGACCCCAGGGCCCAGGTGGGACTCAGAGGTGGGAGCTGGCCTTGGAAGCCCCTGAGCCATCCCCAGATCTCCACAGAACTGTGGGCTGCCCTCCATTCTGGACGGACCTGGGCCTTTCACAGTCTTCGTCCCAAGCAACGAGGCTGTGGACAGCTTGCGAGATGGTCGCCTCATCTACCTCTTTACATCAGTAAGCCAAGTGGGGCGGAGGAGCTGTGGGAACTGGTGGGGTGACCAAGGTCTCCACCCTCCCCCTGCTCCGGTCTCCAGGAGCAAACTTTCTCTCCCCTACCAGGGTGTGTCCAAACTGCAGGAGCTGGTGAGGTACCACATCTACAACCACGGCCAGGTGAGTGCTCTTAAACCAGAGGCCATGGGCTGCTACCCGTACTTGGGCTGTTTGGGGCTTGTCTTCCCAGGGAACCCTTCTCCTGCCTGTCTCCTCTCCCTTCTCCTGAGACAATTATAACTCAGAGAGGAACCCCAGAACCAAGCAGGGGATCTGTAAGTCACCTGCGCAGGACTGACCCTGACTCCAAGGTCTTCAGCATAGTACCACCCTCTCCCCAACCTCAGCTGACTTCTGACAAGCTCATCTCCAAGGGTCGGGTCCTCACAATGGCAAACCAGGTCCTGACCGTGAACATCTCCGAGGAGGTGAGGCTCGGTGAACGTGTGGAATGAATGGATGGATGGATGGCCAGGCCTCTGGTCTTTTTTGCCCTGTCTTTGTGCTCCATATGCGGTGTGGGCAGGATGCTGTGCTAGACCATGTGGGAGGCAGACATAGGTTATATCCTCTCCTGGTGCCCAGTGGGGTAGAGAGCTTCCCAGGAGGAGGAGGCGCATGCTCGATGTGGTGGTGGGAACTGCACAGCGAAGGCATGGAGCTGACACAGAGCTGGCCAGAGCAGGAGGCATCTGCAGAGGAGAGAGGGGAAGCAGACAGGCATGATAGGCAGGGCCTTGACCGCCACCTGAGACGCTGGGACCTAGATGGAGCCCAGGGCAGTGACGGGAGCTGGGCCAGCTGGGGCGTCTGGGCAGGTGTCCCAGCATTCTCTCTGCTGCAGGGGCGCATTCTGCTAGAACCTCATGGGATCCCACTGCGACAAGTGGACGTGCAGGCTGCCAACGGCGTGATCCATTTGCTGGAGGGCATCCTGCTGCCTCCGACCATCCTACCCATCCTGCCCAAGCACTGCAGCGAGGAGCAGCACAAGATAGTGGCGGTGAGCCACGTCCCCTCAATCCAGCCACTGGGTTCACAGTGGCTCGCTCTGGGCCTGCCCGCAGACCCACAGGCCGGTCCCAGGCCCCACACACACCTAGCCATCATCAGTCCTGCTGGTTCACCATTGAAATGACTTTCACTTCCACACCTTTGCCCTTCAGAGTCTGTCAAGGCCTATGCATATTCTGTGATATACCTGAGTCACCCCTGACCCTGGTCCTAACGCCATCTGCCTCAGCCTCAGACACTCTACGTGTCCTGACTCTCTGCTAGAATGCCATCCCTCTTCAACCTGCCCAGGCCTGGCTCCTTCTCATCCCCCAGCTCTCAACTCCATGTCACTGTCTCAGGCTTTGCTGGACAAGTTTTTATTTAACAAACACCTCTCCTTTTCTTCCCACCCAGGGTTCCTGTGTGGACTGCCATGCTCTGAACACTAGCAAGTGCCCTGACAACAGCATAGAGCTGGTAAGCACCCTTGATCCATCCCTCAAGACTCCTTGGACCCCAACTGACTGCCCAGTTAGGTTTCTGCCACGGGGGAGAGGGAACAGTAGGCTGGGAGAGAAACGTGGTGGGGCCCGTACTTCTAAGCACTTCTGGGGGTGACAGTACTGGACCCAAAGGGCCCTAAACAGAGGCTGTCTGATGAAGGAGGGGGTCCAGCACCCACAGGGACTGAATACCTGCATGGTCCACCCCTAGGACATCTTCCCCAAAGAGTGTGTCTACACTTACGACCCCGCTGGGCTCAATGTCCTGAGGAAGGGTTGTGCTCGCCACTGCAACCAGACCATCATGGTGAGCTCTGGGCGTGGGTCACCCAATCCCAGGCCAACACAGGGCATGGAGGGACCTCCCTGGCCCCCTTCCCTAACTAGGAGGGAGCGGAAGCAGCCCATGCAAGGAGGGAGGTTGTGACTACTCCTCGGAATGCTGTCTCTTATAGAAGCCCGGCTGTTGCAAAGGATTTTTTGGGCCTGACTGTGCACAGTGTCCAGGCGGCTTCTCCAATCCCTGCTACGGCAAAGGCAACGTGAGAGCGGTGACCCCTGGGGGCGACGGGCGGCGTAGGGGGATGGAGACTCCTTCCTGAGCTGGCAAGGACTAACCAAGCGTCAGCGCCAAACCTGCCCCTTTCCAGACTCAGTGTCCCACATCTAGGCAATAGAAGCTAGGCCAAGGGATGTCTGACATTCCTGTTGGAAATAAAGAATTAAACTTTTTAAAATTTATTCTCACTGAGGCTGTTTGTCAGTAGCTTTATTTTGCCTTCTGTTTCCACTCCTTTGTGATATCAGGGCCACTCGAGCACCTACCTATGGAAGGTCACCTGAGTTAGATGTTTCTAGGTTGAGAGGAAATCACACATACAGTCTCTGGGGCCAAGTGCCTTTTAGAAGGCTGGTTCTTTGGCAGCATCAGTGATGATGAAAGTCCCTTCCAGGCTGAGGTCTTGGGGAGCGCAGCAGCTCAGAGGGAGCCTATGAAAGGAGGACTTGGAGAGGACCTTTTCCCTTCCTGACTCTCCCTCCTGCCACCCTGCAGTGCAGTGATGGGATCCAGGGCAACGGAGCCTGCCTCTGCTTCCCAGACTACAAGGGCATTGCCTGCCACATCTGCTCCAACCCAAAGAAACATGGAGAGCGGTGCCAGGAAGGTGTGTGGTCTGGGTCCATGCTGTCCTCCAGCAAGAAAGGGAATCCACTTGAAAAGAGGCAGGAGCTCCTGAGGAGGAGAACAGGGCCCAGCAGGGAGCATGAAGGCTGAGGGGATTGAAGAAGAGTTAGGAATCAAAATAGATATTTTCTTCACACATGGCAGAAAAGATTATGATTTAATCTAAAGCATGCAAGCTTTAGGTCAGACACACAGAAGATTTTCCTGGTGTGAATGTGAGGGCAAGACAGCTGGAAATGGGTGGATGAGAAATCTCCCTCACATTTCCTCTGCCTGCCTGGGATAACCTTTCATTTTTGTGGCCTGAAAAGCATGTTTATATTACGTGCCCCATTCCCAGCCCTCCGCAAACAGCTCTGTCCTGCCTCAAATTCTCTGCTTATCTCCTGCCTGCAGACTGCGGCTGTGTCCATGGTCTATGCGACAACCGTCCAGGCAGTGGGGGTGTGTGTCAGCGTGGCACGTGTGCCCCTGGCTTCAACGGCCGCTTCTGCAATGAGTCCACAGGGGACTGTGGGCCCACAGGCCTGGCCCAGAACTGCCACCAGAACGCCCGCTGCGTCAGCAAGGGGGACAGCACCAGGTGAGGGCCGCCTTTGCTCTTCCCCTGCCGCCATACTTGAGCTTGCTCCCATCGGTCTCTCTACCCTCACCTAGAATGTCACTGAAGTTCCTGCCTTCCCCCATCCCAGGTGTGTCTGCAAAGATGGCTTTGAGGGCGATGGCTTCACCTGCACCCCCAGCAACCCTTGCTCCCGCCCAGACCGCGGTGGCTGCTCAGAAAACGTCAGTCTTGTTGCCCCCTCCCTGAAGTCCCTAGACCATCCTAGACCCACAGTTAGGGGGAGGCGGGATTGGGAGGTGGGATTGCCTGACCTCTGCCAGTGACCCAGAGTACCTGAGTGATATATTCATGGTGCCCCCAGGCCGAGTGTGTCCCTGGTGCCTCAGGTACCCACAACTGCACGTGCCACAAAGGCTGGAGTGGGGATGGCCGGGTCTGTGTGGCCATTGATGAGTGTGAGCTGGACACTCGAGGCGGATGTCACGCCGACGCCCTCTGCAGTTACGTGGGCCCTGGGCAGGTGAGATAACACATCTGGGAATTCGAGTCCTGAGGATCCTCTCCCTACCCTGTCAAGACTCTACCCGCTCTAAGACCTCAAGCTCAGAATCTTGAGCCTCAGACACAATGGAGAATCCAGTTCTAAACAGATGAGTCAGTCACAGTCTGAGATTCATCCATTCATTCACTCTACTGCTCTCCACGTTTCAACAGGCATCTGTACATGCTGGTCCCTGCTCAAGCCTCTGCCCATGAGGAGGGTGTTATGACACCCATAACCTAAAAAACACCCCACATCTCTGCCATCAAATTGATACTGACTCATAATAACTCTAAAACCATGATGTCTAGACTCGAGGAAATTCATCTCTGGCCTTTTACAGTCTCAGAATTTCATCACAGGTTCTTAGAATCTGGAGCCTTCCATGTGGAATGTGTCAGGCCTGGTGAATGAACCTGCAGGTTGATGTTGTTATTGTTATGTGCTGTCAAGTTAAGTTCAACTCATAGCGACCAGATGTGAGCCCTGTCCTATCCTGTGCTGTCCTCACAGTCTCTGACACACTTGAGTCCATTGCTGCAGTCACCATGTCAATCCAGCTGGCTGAGGGGCTTCCTCTCCTTCACCATCCCCTCACCTTTCCAAGCATGATGCTCCTCTTCAAGGAATAGCCTTTCCTAGCAACATGCCTAGAGTGTATGAGAAAAGCGGGTTGCTAGGTATTAAAAATATTTAATAAACAGATTGGGTTTAAGACCAGCCTCTGGGTGCCCCTGGGCTGCACAGGGGTCCATGGGTGTCTTGTCCCCCAAACCTCTTAGGAGATCTTAGCAGTGAGGACTCAAAAGAAGAGGACTGGAGCCTCTGAAGTCCATTACATGCAAACCAAATCCATTATCACTGAGTTGATTTTGACTCCCAGAGACCCTTATTGGATGGACAAGAACAGGCCCAAAGGGCTTCTGAACCTGTCAATCTTTACTGGAGTAGTGAGCCTCATTCAGAACATGAGGAGACCAGTGGACAGGGTTAGACTCAGCCCAACCTGCCAACAGGGCAACTGAGAGCTGGGGATGGGGGGTCCCCAGGTCACTCGCCTGGCAGTGTGGACATGCCCAGGGGCACTCTGGCAAAGTAGGAGGAATCAGAGCAGCCACCACGGAGAGGGGAAAGGTGAGACGAGAGCTGCCAGCCCAGGATCTGACCTAGGCAGACAGCTCCCCACTCCCCATAAGTTGCTGACCTGGACAGTGTGGGCAGGGAAGCCAGCCATGCCCTGCTGGCCTGAGTAGAGGGACCTTGAATCTCACAGATGCCTCCTTGTGGGAATCACCACTTACTCACTGATCTCGAAAGGCAGCCTCCTCTTAGGGCCTGTCTCCCCTCCTGGAAATGGCTTTGCAAGGTTGGGACTGGGAGAAGCTGCTCTAGGGTCTGAGTAGGCTGCGAAGGACAGGGCTAGGAGAGCCTTGGGGCGCAGCAGGGAAGCCCCAGGCTCCCAGATGAGATGAGATCCTTTGCTGCTCCACCTGTCCAGAGCCGGTGCACCTGCAAGCTGGGCTTTGCTGGGGATGGCTACCTGTGCAGCCCCATCGACCCCTGCCGAGTGGGCAACGGAGGCTGCCACAACCTGGTGAGTCAGCTCTGGCGGCGAATCAGGGTGGGTCTAGGCTGCCGTTCTCTCTGGGTGTGTTCTGTCAGAATGAGGATCTTTCTAAAGCCCAAAGCTGGCCATGCCATGTCCGTGCCCATAAGACAAAGCCTTCACAATCCATTCCTTTGGCTACAAGTCCTGCAAGACACAGCCTACTCTGGGTAGTTGACCCCCAACGATACTGAAAAATTCAAACCATGGTGGGGGATAGGTGGCTGGACAGGCAGACAGCAGGGAAATGGGAGACAGGTGGACAGGTGGATGGGCAAGGTTGGCCTGTGGGGAACCACAGACCATGTCTCTTTGCCCTCGCCCCACCCTAGGCCACCTGCCGGGCTACTGGGGGCGGCCAGCGGGTCTGCACCTGCCCCTCTGGCTATGGGGGTGATGGCCTCAGCTGCTATGGAGACATCTTGCAGGTAAGTGGCTTTCAGACTCGTTTCTGTTCTCCATGTTTGGGAAGGCCTCCTCTCCTCACCTCAGGAAGCAAAGGACCTAGGACCCAGGGCAGGACACAAGTCTTGGAGCTGCCTCTCAGCTTGAGACCTCAGCTCTGTCCTTTCTCTTAGGAGCTGGAGGCAAATGCCCACTTCTCCCTCTTCTTCCAGTGGATCAAGGTAAAGGAGGGCAGAGTGTGGGGGGGGTGGCCTTGCTGGATGCTCGGTGCCACAGGTATCTCCAAGAACTGGAGGTGGGGGCAGGGCTGGAGGCTGTGATAGGTGATGTTGATGTCTGCCTTCATCACACCTTCTGTCCCCAGAGTTCGGGGGTCACCCTTCCTGCCGACAGCGGCGTCACAGCCCTGGTGCCCTCTGAGTCTGCCATCCGTAGCTTGAGCCCCAAGGACCGGGCTTTCTGGCTCCAGCCGAGGATGCTGCCTCAGCTGGCAAGGTAGACCAGTCAGGGGGAGGGGGGTTCTCCCGGAGGGGTAGAAGGACTGGCTCCTCCTCAGCAGAAAGGGTCTCTCTAGAGAAGCCCCCAGTCCTATTTCTAATCCTGTAGGTTGCCCTCACTGGTTCCCTAATCCCCTAAACTGCTCCAACAGGGCCCATTTTCTCCAAGGAGCCCACTCTGAGGAGGAGCTGGTCCAGCTGGGTGGGCAGGAGGTGGCAACCCTGAACCCCACCACACGCTGGGAGATTCGCAACATTAGTGGGGTACGTGGTGAACTCTGGACAGAAGAAGAAATCCAGGCAGGAAATGACCTATAGCTCTGGGGTCAGTCCTGGCACCCTTCCCCTCCCCTGCCCAAGGTCTCGCTCAGGGGAGTGAGCTCAGGGATGGACAGTGTCTTGAGGCCAAGATGACTGCCTTGGCAGGGATCTGTCTTTGCATACCATCCTCTCACGGATGGCCCTGCTGAGGGTCTGACTTTCCAACTGGTGGGCCCCGAATCTGCGTCCTGGGCAGGCTGGGTGATGTCCATGTGCTCACAGCCTCTCTGTGGGTATTGTGCCTGCACTTAAGCGACCCACTTCTGTCTAAACTCTATCTGCTGTTTTCCAGAGGGTCTGGGTGCAGAACGCAAGCGTGGACGTGGCTGACCTCCTTGCCACCAATGGTGTCCTACACATCATCAGCCAGGTATGGGAGGGCGTGGGCACAGGAGACAACTGGACAGCCAAGCACAGCAGCCCACTGACCAGCTGCCATGCTCTGCCCCAGGTCTTGCTGCCTCCTCTGGGGAATGCCTCGCAGGAGCCGGGGTTACTAAAGCAACTAGACTCTGTGCCAGCCTTCAGTCTCTTCCGGGAGCTGCTGCAGGTACAGGAGGCCAGCTGGGGGCATCTAGTCAGAGGCACTCTCTCCCAGCTGTGGAGAGAGCTGGCTGGCTCCCAGGGTCAACCGTATCCGACCCCGACTCCCATCTTTTATTCTCAGCGCCATGGGCTAGTGTCCCAGATTGAGGCTGCCCCAGCCTACACCATCTTCGTGCCCACAAATCGATCACTGGAGGCCCATGGCAACAACAGCAGCCTGGTGAGGTCATGGGCAGCCAGCGGGGAGGATGATATAGGTGGAGGCTGGGCCTCCATCCTTGGGCAGTGGAGGAAGGGGTGGTCACAGAGTCCCTTGAGCCAACTCTTCCCCCTGCCAGGACGCAGACACAGTGCGACACCACGTGATCCTGGGAGAGGCACTCTCCACGGAGAATCTGAAGAGAGGGGGACATCGCAACTCTCTCCTGGGCCCCGCCCACTGGCTGGTCTTCTACAACCACAGCGGCCAGGTTTGGGGGTTACCAGGAGACCCCATCCTAGAGATCCCTTCCATCTCCCACCCCGGAGTCCCATCTGCCCACCCTGACAGTCCTCCCATCCTTAGGACTCTCCCCTGGCCTCAGACTGTGGGGGATGGGGGGATGACATTGGATGTGGGGAGCACTCAGCCTCCTGCGTCACCCCCCCAAGCCTGAGGTGAATCACCTGCCTCTGGAAGGCCCCCTGCTAGAAGACCCCAGCCGCTCCTTGTTCGGTCTGTCCGGTGTCCTGACGGTGGGCTCCAGCCGCTGCCTGCACAGTCATGCCGAGGCCCTGCGGGTGAGCCCTGCGGAAGGCTACTGGGAGTTAGAGCCAGGAGCTGCTGCTGGCCTGGCTGGAGCAGGCAGGGTGCTTGTTAGGGGAAAGGGGGCTTGAGAGCCTGATTCCCTGACCACCTGACACTGTGCCCTCCTGTGTCCAGGAAAAATGCACCAATTGCACCCGGAAGGTTCGCTGCTTGAAGGGCTACCAGCTGCAGGTGAGACTAGATTTGGCACAGATTCTCTTACTCCTCAGATGTCCAAACCCCAGGTCTCCATCCGTGCCTGCACTTGGGAATGATTTGGGTGGCTAGATACTTCCTTTTTTTTATTTTATTATTTATTGTATTCTTTTACGTGTACCGTCAAATCAGATCTGACTGGTACAGGAGGAGATTGCCCCCTCCTTCTCCAGCAGAGCATCTGGTGGATTTGAACCGCGTACCTCTGGGATTGAAGTGCAGCGTCTTGCCACTAGGTCACCAGAGCTCCCTTTGGGTGGCTAGATACTTCTTGGAGAGGCCTGGACCTGGATCTGCTCTGAGGAGGCCTTGCTTAGACTTGTGGCTCAAGTCACTGTGACCCCCTAGCCACTAGACCCCTCCCCTGAATGGCCTTTCTTGGACTTTCCTTGATCCTCTGTCATCCTTCTCTAGGGGGCCCCATCACTCTAATGTTTATAGTCCGTCCATCACCCTCTGCCCTGTCCTGCCTGTACCCAAACCACTGACTGACCTCCTCCTGCCTATCCCCACCCCCAGGACACCCCCCAGAAGAGCTGTGTCTACAGATCTGGCTTATCCTTCTCCCGAGGCTGTTCTTACACGTGTGCCAAGAAGATTGAGGTCTGCCCAGCAGCAACCCCAGCCTAGCAAACCTTTGGGCACACTACAGGGTGTGGGAATCAGGGCCGAGGGGAGAAGGCTCATTCTAAGGGCAGAGGAAAAGTTGAGCTTGGAGTGAGGTCAGCAAGGCCAGTGTCAGAGGCAGGGGAGAGGACAGGGGTTTGAAGCAGAGGGCAAGTGCTTGTCCTTGTGTCTACCCCTAGCAGCTAGGGGGTAGGAGAAGGAGCTTAGCCCAAAGAAAGTGCCATCAACCAGGCGTGAGGAGTGGCTACTGGGTCCGGCTTAGCTTTCCCCTCCGCTGTGAGGCCTGGGCTTGGCCTTACCCCACCATGAGCTTCACTTTCCTCACCCCTGCTGCGGGGAGGGTCATGGAAGGCCCTTCCAGTTCTGCATGACCTTGAGTCTGGGCTTCCCAACTCATTTTGTTCTCTATTCCACGGCCCCAAAGTGGCCATTCCCCTCCTCAAGCCTTCTTCCACCTGACACGAGTTTTCCTGTTTCCCACAGGTGCCTGACTGCTGCCCTGGCTTCTTTGGCACACTGTGTGAGCCGTGTCCTGGGGGCCTGGGTGGCGTGTGCTCGGGCCATGGTCAGTGTCAGGACAGATTACTGGGCAGTGGAGAGTGTCGCTGTCAGGAGGGCTTCCACGGGACAGCCTGCGAGATGTGTGAACTGGGTCGCTACGGGCCCAACTGTACCGGAGGTGAGGCCCAGGAGGCAGCAACATGAGGGGGTAGGAAAAGGGCTTCCTGGCAAGGGCAGGATGGGCACACTGGGTTGATAACTGCTGACCCTTCTTGCCCCTCTCCCAGTGTGTGACTGTGCCAATGGGCTGTGTCAGGAGGGGCTGCACGGAGACGGAAGCTGTGTCTGTAATGTGGGCTGGCAGGGTCGCCGCTGTGACCAGAGTGAGTGGGTCTGGGGGTGGGGTGGTGGTGGTAAGAGTGATCCCTGGGGAGGCTGTTTCTGGGTCCTAATGCCTGGACCTATCTTCCTAACCTTCAGAAATCACCATCCCTCAGTGTCCAAAGATGTGTGACTCCAATGCCAAGTACATGAGCCCAGATGGACCGATGGGGTGAGGTGGGGGTGGGAGGGGTGAGGGATGGGCGGGCATAGATTGAGCCCTTACCATCCCTCCTAGCTGTGTTCAGGACTCAGCTGGAGCTTCTGTCTGCGTCTGTGCTGCAGGATATTCAGGCAACGGCACCCACTGTTCAGGTTCAGTCATAGACGCCATGAGCCCTCGGTGAACTCCTGGGGGGCTGTTCCCACACCTTGCCATTACCGCCTCTAAATCCCGGGCTTTGCTCCTGTCCTAGCTCTGCTCCTGTTCTCCTTTGCTCTGTTCCTTTCTCCCATGCTTCTTGCCCCTCATGGTTCTCTGATCCATCTGTCTCCAGAAGTGGACCCCTGTGCCCATGACCATGGGGGGTGTTCTCCCCATGCCAACTGCACCAAGGTGGCACCTGGACAGCGGACATGCACCTGCCAGGAAGGCTACACGGGTGATGGGGAACTGTGCCAAGGTGAGGCTACAACCCCCCAAGCTGGCATGTGTGGGGCTAGGGGTCTGGCTTCAGTCATCCAAATCACTAGGAAGGGCTCTGGACACACAAGAGGATAAGGACTGAGGGCACTGAGAGAGTAGAAGGTGAGCAGTTGGAGGTTCAGATAGGCAGATGAATGAAGGAGCCACCTAGGGCCACTCCTCACCCCACTGTCTCTTCCCCCAGAGGTTAACAGCTGTCTCATCCACCATGGCGGCTGCCACGTTCACGCTGAGTGCATCCCTACAGGTCCCAAACAGGTCAGTGGGGCAGAGCTGGAGTTGGTGGCAGTCCCCATAGGTGGGGTTCCCTTCATAGCAGGCCTGGGAAGGGAGGTGCCTTTTCTTTTTGGGTACTGGCAAGCCCCTGGCTCCCAGTAACCCTACTGATCAGAGTTTGTGGGACAGGTCTCCTGCAGCTGCCGTGAGGGTTACAGCGGGGATGGTATCAGGACCTGTGAGCCTCTGAATCCCTGTTCAAAGGTTAGGCCCCCAGTCGCGCCTCCTTTCATGGGAGGGGAAGCACCATGGGAGAAAGCAGTCCTAAAGGATTCTGAACAATGGGAGCACCCTCCTCCAAGTTCAAGTCTGGCGGATTTATAAGAAATGGGGCTGGAGGAGACGTTGCATAAACACTTGCTTGTCTCTTCCCCAGGACTGGTGGTCCTGAGAGCCACTGATGTTTCCTCTTCTGTCTGCCTCAGAACAACGGAGGCTGCAGTATCCATGCAGTGTGCAAAAGCACAGGGGATGGCCAGAGGACATGCACCTGCAACTCAGCCTACGCTGTGGGGGACGGAATCACCTGCCGTGGTCGAGTTGGCATGGTAATGAAGCCTGAGTCTGACTTCTCACTGGCCTTGTCTCTGCCCCATGAGCCTGACCAATGATCTTGGTCAAGATCTTTAGCCAGACCCTATAAACCTGATCTCTGAATCTACCTGGGCCAGACCCCAGCTGTGACCTGTGAATGGAATCTTGATCCCAGCTCAGACTCCCCTCTCCCTTCCTGGCTTTCCTCTCCTTATCTGTCTCGGCGAGCAGACCTTGGGCTGAAGGTGATGGAACAGGCACCAGGCCCTGTTTAGGGACCACCCAAAATCTGAGTTGGTCCTCCTCCCTCCCCCCCAGGAGCTCATCCGGGACAAGCATGCCTCATTCTTCAGACACAACCTCCTGGTGAGTGTCCAGACCATCTCACTACCCTCTGTCCAGCCCAAGCTTGTGCAGCCTGCACCTTTCGGGGTCAGGGGGTCAACTGGGTCAGCCTTTCACAGTCCAGGTGTTTCTTGGGGGGTCAAGATGGTCCTAGGCAAGCACCCCTTCCACCTGAGCGATTTCCTTCTCCGCTTTCCAGGAGTGAGGAATCCTGGTGGCACAGAGGTTAAGCACTGGACTGCTAGGTTGGCAGTTCCAAGCATCCACCTACTGGGAGAAAGATGCGGTAGTGGGACTCTATAGAGAGTCCAACATTAGGAATCCTGAAGGGCAGTGCAACTCTGTCCTGCAGGGTCACTGCGTGTGGGAATCTGTCCCAACAGAGTGGGTTGGGTTTGATTTTGGTTCATCCAGGAGTCCAAAGAACTTTGGGGTGATGGGCCTTTCACTATCTTCGTGCCGCGCTCAGATCTGACGACCAATCTGACATTGGTAACACCTACGTGGATGAGGGTGGGAATGAATGTTGGGCATTCCATTGGAAGGCTCCTCGGTGGTGGGCACCTTGGTGGTGGGCATTGCGTGTGCAGAGGTGCCGGGCAGGAGCTGCCCTACCTGAGGAGCTGTCTTCCTCTTCCCACTCCAGGACGAACAGGCCCGGATTGGCGCACACCGCCGCCTCGTCTTCCGATACCACGTGGTGGGCTGTGGGAAACTGCGGAGCCCCGAGCTTCTGGAAGCTGAGTACATCACGACGCTCTCTGGGCACTCACTGCGCTTCAGTGAAAGGGAGGTGAGACTCACCCACCTGGGATCCACCCTCCCATAGCATCCGCCCACTACACAGGTCTCAGTCCTCTCAAGCCCCACCCCGAGCAGGCGTGTACCCTCTTTCCCTACTTTCCACCTCCCCCAGGTCCTTTACTAAAATGAGTCCCATCTCGTCCACTCCCAGGATCTTGGCCCTGCCCCTGGCTTTGCCCCTGCCCCCCTGAGCGTAGGACCTGCAGCTGCTAAGTGGCTCAGAGCGAATGAGTCCCGCCCCACACGGCCACGCCCACAGCTCAGCGCCGCGCCCTTTCTCAATATCAAGCTCTGATTGGCTGGCTGTGCTCCAATCCCACCGCTCTCAAGACTTAGGCCCCGCCTCACACCAGAGCCTTCCCACAACTTCTCTCCCACACACACCTGTGCCTCCACCCCAGGGCGATATATACATCAATGACTACGCACGCATTGTGAGCAGCGACCACGAGGCGATGAATGGCATCCTCCACTTCATTGACCGTGTTCTGCTGCCTCCTGATGTGCTGCACGCGGAGCCTACCGCTGCCCCAATCTTGAAGGTGTGACTTGGGTCCCAGCTGAAGGCTGGGAGGTGGGTGGAGTGACTTCTCCTTGCTTATTCTCCTTGCTTTCCTCAGAAAAACGTCATCGATGCTGCTGAGAGCTTCGGTTACAAGATCTTCAGCCGTCTTGTGAAGGTACTGTCCCTGTGGATGTCATTGCGCATATGAGCACATTTAAGCGTGTGGGCACTGTCTGTCAGTGTGTACACATCAGTGTGTATACCATCTGTGTGCAAACACCACCATCTGCATAACGGCATCTGTGCATAGCCCACATCTGTGTGCATGAGCTTTGCCATGTGAGCACCTTATGTATTTATGTGTGCCCATTTGCCTGACAGGTATGCACCATCAAGGTGTATGCTAGCCCATATTTGTGTCTGTGTCTGCCCGGGATGGCCATAGCTCAGTGTAACTGGTGGGGACCCCTTCCTGGCACCTCTTTCTGGTTTGTACTGCCCAGTCCCCTTCCTCTGTTCACTGTCTCTGACTGAGGTGTGACTGTATGCTCTGCCTCATCACACTAGGACGTTGGCCTCCTGTCTTTGCTTCGACATGTGGACCATGGGCCCTTTACAATGCTGTGGCCCACAGACTCCGCCCTGCGAGCTTTGCCCCAAGAGCGCCAGGCCTGGCTGTACCATGAGTATCATCGAGACAGGCTGGCAGCCATTCTGAGGGCCCATGTGATCCACAATGTTGAGGTGAGTACACCCTAGACTAGTCCCCATTGCCTGCAGCCCCTCCTGGCTACCCAGCTTAAACTGTGGCTTCATCTGCTCAGGCCTTGGCAGCAGACCTGCCGAACCTGCGTGCACTTCGCACCATGCATGGGAACCTTATCTCCTTCTCCTGCAGCCGCACCCGACCGGTGAGTCTGGGGACAGGGCTTCTGTTCACGATGCCATTGGTGTATCTGTATTCCCATGTACTCCACATCCTCCCCTGCAGGGCGAGCTCATGGTGGGTGACGGTGATGCCCGCATTGTGCAGAGGCACCTACCCTTTGAGGGTGGCTTGGCCTATGGCATTGACCAGCTACTGGAGCCACCAGGCCTTGGTGCCCGCTGTGACCACTTTGAATTCAAGGAATATAAGATGGTAAGGGAGGCCCTAGGTGGCAGGTGGATGGGTAAGGAACCCAGTCCACCTGTCTTGTCTATCTGATCTTTTTGGGTGGGCCTCTTTCCTTTCCAGGATTGCACCCCCTGTTGGAGGGACCTCTCTTGTCCTCCGGGCTGGAAGAAGAAGGTGAGGGGACAAGGGACTGGAGAGGGTCAGGCAGGAGCTGGTACCTCCAAACTGCCTGTCAGCAGCCTACCTCTTTTTGGTCCAGGACAAACCTGAGGAATGCTGGGGAGTCAGTGCCGACAGGCCATTTATACCAATATTTTGGCGGAGTAGTATCATGTTACACTATTACATGGAACAGCATAAGGGCTGCAAGCAAAAGTGCATCACCACTGAGTGGAAGCCCACCTGCTGCCCTGGCCACTATGGCAGTGAGTGTCGAGGTGAGTGATTACTGCTGGTGGATCCTCTCACTACCTCCGGATAGCGAAAGCACAGCTCTGAGCACTGACCCAAAGAAGTTTTGTGGTTAAGGTCTAGGGCAGGTGATTTGAAGGGGAGGAGGAGCTGGGAAAGGCAGGGTGGGTGTGCATGTGGTGCAGAGCCTGGTGGGGTGTGCTGGTTTTATGAAGTGGGGGCTATGAATGCTCTCAAGGGCAAAGGAGCAAGGGATGGGGACTTTAGTGGTTGCTGTTTCTGGATGAACTTTGGCTACTGCTGTGTGGAGATTGGATGTTATGTCTGGGCTGGGAGAGCATGGGAGGGACATCTTGATAAGAAAGAGCCCCTGGTCCCTCCCTGATGCCCTACTCCATCCCCTAGCATGTCCTGGAGGCCTCAACAACCCCTGCGGGGGTCATGGCACGTGCTTGGACGGCGTGAACGGCAGTGGCCAGTGCAATTGCCATTCAGGCTTTACTGGGACAGCTTGTGAACTCTGTGCCCCAGGGTCTTTTGGACCCAACTGTCAAGGTGGGTCACCCCGTCCTGTCCTGCCCCACTTGGGCTCAGATTCCCTGCCCCGGTAGTTCATTGTTCATCTTCCCTCATACCTCTCCCCAGCCTGCCGCTGCACCTCCCATGGCCATTGCGATGAAGGCCTCGGGGGATCTGGCGCCTGCTTCTGTGATGAAGGCTGGATGGGACCACGCTGTGAGGTGCAGCTGAGTGAGTGGCCTTTCGCCTGTGCCCACCATTCCCGCTGTGCACACTTAACCCACACCAGGGCATAGTTTACTTTGGGCTAAGGGCACTGAGGCTGGGGGGGGGCATAGAGAGGCCAGGAGGGTAATGACTGACCTTACTGTCTGGCTTTGGGTATCTGGGGACAGAGCTGCAGCCTGTGTGCATCCCACCCTGCGCCCCTCAGGCTGTGTGCCGGGTGAACAACACCTGTGAGTGCAGCCTTGGCTATGAAGGAGATGGGCACGTGTGCACAGGTGAGCAGTGGCTGGGGATCTGCAAGGGGGAGTCCTCCACCCCGCCCCATTCTCCTCCAATCACCTGGTCAAACCACTGCCTCCCTGCCCCCAGTGGTGGACCTATGCCAGGATGGGCACGGGGGCTGCAGTGAGCATGCCAACTGCAGTCAGGTGGGCACAGTGGTCACTTGCACCTGCTGGCCTGACTATGAGGGTGACGGCTGGATCTGCCGGCCTCGCAACCCCTGTGAAGATGGCCACCGTGGGGGCTGCAGCGAACATGCTGACTGCCTGAACATCGGCCCGGTGAGCAGGCAGGGAACCCAGCGGCCAGGGGGAGGTGGGGGCCCTGGTGCTCCTGATGGGCACCCATCTACCCTCCTCACCCACAGAACACACGGCGCTGCGAGTGCCACGCTGGCTATGCGGGTGATGGGCTGCTGTGTGTGGAGGAGTTTGAGTTGCCTGTGGACCGCTGCCTGGACCAGCCCCGACCCTGTCACATAGATGCCACGTGCACTGACCTGCACTTTCAGGGTGTGTGCCCCCTCCCGTTGCCTGTTCCCTTGCTTTTCCTGTGACCACCAGATGACCAGGTCTTCTCCTCTCTGCAGAGAAACGGGCTGGGGTCTTCCATCTCCAGGCCTCCAGTGGCCCTTACGGCCTGAATTTCTCAGAGGCTGAGGCAGCGTGCAAGGCCCAGGGAGCTGTCTTAGCGTCTGTCTCTCAGTTGTCTGCTGCCCAGCAGGTGTGTGGGGGCCTGGAGTCTGGAGCTGGACCTGGGGGGGGGGGTCTTGGAGTCAGGCCCTGCATCTCAGTATTCCCTCCAACCCTTGCAGCTGGGCTTCCACCTGTGTCTTGTGGGCTGGCTGGCCAACGGCTCAACAGGCTACCCCGTCGTTTTTCCCAAGGAAGACTGCGGCGGCAACCGGGTGGGCGTAGTCAGCCTGGGCCTCAGTCAGAACCTTTCAAAGCATTGGGACGCCTACTGTTACCGAATTGAAGGTGCATTATCCCACTGCCCAGTCCCTGACCTGCTGTCTTCCGTCAGTCTACTGACAACCCCTCCACCTTCCCTGCAGATGTGATATGCCAATGTCACAATGGTTTTGTGGGCGACGGGACCAGTATGTGCAATGGGAAGTTGCTTGATGTCTTGGCTGCTACGGCGAACTTCTCTACCTTCTACAGGGTGCACAGGGGCCTAGCCTTGGGCTTTGGGAGGAGAGCCACGGGTTAGCTGACTCCTCAGGAGAGGGCCTGCCCTCATCCCTGCCTTCGCACCCTCCCAGATGCTGCTGGACTATGCCAATGCCAGCCAGCAAGGTCTTGAGTTCCTGGATTTCCTGGATGACGAGCTCACCTACAAGACACTCTTTGTCCCTGTCAACGAAGGCTTTGTGGACAACATGGTAGCAGAGGGTGAGGGTAGAGTGGGAGGCCAAACTCTGTCTACTCTACCTGGCCCAGACCAACACGCCTTGCTGTGCCCACAGACGCTGAATGGGGCTGACCTGGAGCTGCACGCCTCCAACGCCACCTTCCTGAGTGCCAATGCCAGCCAGGGGACCTTACTCCAGGCCCACTCGGGCCTCAGCCTCTTCATCAGTGACTCTGGCAACAGTTCCCGCACCCCTGTGGTTAAGTCACTACTGGCCCTTCCCTGCTGGCCTTGGCCCTTCCCTCCCTGCTGGCTGACTCTGGTCTTCTTGTAGGTACCAGGGGCAGTAGTGGTTGGCAGTGTCATCCAGTGGGACATCGAAGCCTTGAATGGCATCATCCACACTCTGGCTAGCCCCCTCCTGGCACCTCCACAGCCTGTGAGTTGGCATGGGTTGGCAAGACTGAGCTCTTCCGAGGACAACTCTGGCCAGGTCCTTCATCCCCTTCTGCTGTTTGCAGGGGGCAGTGTTGGCACGTGAGGCCCCACCTGTGGCAGCAGGCGTGGGGGCCGTGGTGGCTGTGGGAACACTCCTCGGCCTGGCAGCTGGAACCCTCTACCTCCGTGCCCGGGGCAAGACCAAGGGCTTTCGCTTATCCACCTTCCAGGTAGGGCTGAGCTGGGGAGGAGGGCTGAGTCCTCAGATGTTGAGGCCCCTCACCATTCACCTCACCATTTCCAGGCAGAAGCTGATGCTGATGACGACTTCTCCCTGTGGCAGGAGGGAACCAGCCCGACCCTGGTCTCTGTCCCCAACCCTGTCTTCGGTAGCCCTGAAGACTTCTGTGAGCCCTTTGACGTGAGTATGCTGGGGGACATGAGAGACGTGGATGTGAACCCAGGGCCTGGTCTCTGCCCAGCCACAACTGGCCTTTGCTTCCCAGGATTCGCTGCTGGAGGACGACTTCTCAGACACCAAGAGGATCCTGGCAGTCAAGTGACACGGTGGGGGCGAAAACAGAGGCACATGAAGGAAGGAGACGGACGGCCTTTATTGCTTGTCTGGACAGATGCCCAGAGCGGGCAGGGCAAGAGGGCTGGGAGCTTGTCTGGGACAATAAAGCTGCCCTCAGCGGATGTGAGCCATGTCGCCCAGGAAGGGTGTCTTCATGCAGCCAGTGCAGAGCTGGTCCATCCAGAGTGGGGCCTCATGCTGCAGCGGCGTGCGGCGTGGGTAGAAGGTGAAGTCCACACGGTAGTTGAGCAGGCAGCTGAGCGAGGCCATGTAGAGGTCGGAGAAGCGCACGAGGCGCCGGGAGAAGTAGGTGGGGTTGTGGAAGGTGCGGAAGATGCTTCCAAACTGAGGGTTGAACAGCGCCTTGGTGATGCACCTGGAGACGGAGAGGGGGCTTGGGGAGCTGCAGGGGCCAGTGTGGGAGGGCACAGGCCAGCACCACCGACCCGGCCTGCTCACCTCAGCTCCTGCCGCTCCTTCATCCAGGCTGCCAGCACCTGCCTCGACTCTGCATCCTGGTAGGTCTGAGGGGGAAAGGCAGGTGCTCGCTCAGATGCCTGTGAGCACCTGCGGCTCCCGTGTCCCCAGGTGCGGTGGCCGCCCGCCCCTTCCCACACCTGCATGCGCTCGAGCAGCCCCGTGAGCGCCTGCTGCCAAGTCAGTGAGTGCATGTACTGCTCCGTGTTGATGATGCGGATCTCCCGCTCCAGCTCGGGGATGATGGCGCCTGTGCGCCAGCCGTGCCGCAGCATGAGGTCCTGGGAGGTGGGGAGGACGGGCTCAGCACCCGCTGGGAGGGCTCCCCACTGTGTTCCCCGCCCCGGCAGCCTGGCCCTGCTCCACTCACTGCCAGATCACTGTAGAGGTGGTCTCCAAAGTAGAGTACGCGGGGGCCCCGCCATTCTGTCAGGCGCAGGAAGTCAAACAGGTTCCCCTGGGGAGAGACGGTGGGGTCACTGATGAGGAGGACTCACGTGGGGTTGCCGGGACCAGGCCTTGTCCCCAAACCCCAAGAGACGGGGAGGCCCCTCTAGCCGGATGCCGGACTGCCCTTTCCCATGACTCTGTTGACCTTCTCTGTGCTCCGGGCCTTAACGCTTCCCGCACCCTCAGGGAAGGGGGAGGGGGGCTCTGACTGTCCCAGGAGGTTTGTGGAGGGCTGGTACAGTCCCCATCCCAGAGGGTTCCCCTCCCCATGGATTCACACCCACTCAGGCTAAGGCCAAGTGCACACTTGATGGGAAACCTGGCAGTGGAGGAGACCCTTAGATCTGAGTCGTTCCCAAGTCCCCAGCCCCATCCTGAGGGAGCTGGTAAGTGGTAAATAGCTGACTTTACTGTGAAGCCATCTAGGAGTCCCTTCTGCCACCAAACCCAAACCCTAACCCTGGTATCAGGTCAAGTCTGACTCTAGCAAACCTCCACAGGTTGATGCAGCTGTAAATCTTTAAGGGAGTGTGGCTGCTGGGTTCAAACCACCGACCTTTTGGTTAGCAGACACATTCCCACCACATCATGACTCCTTTCTCCCTGCCTCAAAGCCACAGGAAAAATGTAAGCACCCACAACGGGCTCAAGCACAGGAAGGGCAGGCAGTTCGCAGGGGAGCAGAAAAATGAGGGTCCAGAGCAGGAGGTGTCCAAACTCCAGTGTAGGAGAACCCAGCCCCAGCAAAACTTCATCCAACGACCAGCATCCAAAAGCCTCAAAGGAAAACCATGGGTGAGGGAGCAGGTGATAAGCAGGTGATGATGGAAAAACCTAACTGCTCAAATAAACTCAGGAGAGGCTGAGGAGCAGGTGAGCTTGTTGAGAAGGAAAACAGTGAGGTGGAAGAAATGCCAGGACATTGCCCTGAACCAGGAGAAAGGATACTAAGGGGCAGGCGTGTGCCAAGCAGGGGTTCCAGAGACAGTGAGCAAGAGGGCACACAGAGCAGGAGAGGACACAATGAAACTTCCGAACACCAGGGACAAGGCAATCCTAAGAGGGGCCAAGACAGAAAAAAGGCCATTTCCCTACAGAGGGTCGGGATTCTCTTCAGCCAGAGCCAAGACAAGGGGGAGTGTCACTCTCAGAGCCAAGCAGAGGGCCTTTACTCAGAGCGCACTGCCGAGGGCTCTTCTGGGCAGCAGCAGCCAGGTGGATGGAGCACCCACGCCCGGCTTCCTCACTGGGTACCCCAAAGCTGCTCCAGTGGTTGGCTTCTCTGGCCAACGTTCTCTGACTGCTGGTTTTCCATCACCTCCCTGCCCTAGGCCTCTGGAGCCCCCACCCCCCAAAAGACCAGCTCAGCCAGGATTTCCACATTCCATTCACGGCCAACTGCCTTAATCACATCTGCTCACAGTTACTCAATTCCTCACTTAGCACCAGAGAGCCAGAAAAGCAAGTGTCCCCCCAGAGCACTCCTGGGAGCCACTCAGGAGCCCCGGGCAGCCTGTGCTGACAGCTCTGTACCTTAACTGGGAATGGAGTGACTGCTGGGCTTCACACGGCAACTCGTGTTGTAGTTCACTGCTGTGGAGTCAGAACCGACTCACAGATGACCCTCCAGTGGGTGACTGCCTATTTTCCTCTATCAGAAAAGCTGGTGGATTTGAACTGCCTGCCTTAAGGGTGGCAGCGCAACTTCCTACCCACTAGGCCACCAGAGTTCTTGTTGTTGTTAGGTGCTATAGGGTAGAAGGTAGTATGCTTCTCTTGCAGATAGAAGAGCAGGGAATAGAGAGGGCACGAGACTAGGGCAGCTCTCTCTGCTGCTAGGGGAGTCAGCCCTCAGCAGCCTGACCCAGAGACTATACTCTTGACCACTGCCCAGCCTTCTGTCCTAACAGCCATTCCCTAGTGGGGCCAGGCCTGTACGGATGGCTGAGGGACAGATGTGCGATGCTGATTCAAGAAGGCTGTGCAGCCTCCTCTGAGGTTCTCTGCTCTGTAGCCTGGACCTTGGGGGCTCTGTGCACCACTCGAGCCCCAGGCTCTCACCTGCCGATAGATCTTGCCCTTCTCCAGGCGGGTGATGCGATCCCACTGGAGCGAGCCCTTTTCATCGAGTTTTCGGAAAGGCCTAGTTGGGAGTGGTGGTGAAGGCTTGGTTTCCAGCCTTGGCAGGGCTGCAGGGTCGGCACCCTTGTGCCTCAATAGCGGTGGGCTTCCATTACCCCTCCCCACACCCACCGTCAGGCAGGCCCACGGTCAGGTCATACTTGCGCCGGTCGGTGAAAAAGCTGGGCTTGTCTGCCTGGACGATGACCACATCAAACAGCTGGCGCCAGTCAGGGCCCACCATGTGCCTCATCCCCTTGTCCCTGTACGGAAGGGGGTAGGTGGCAGGTGGTCTGAGGGTGGCTCTTCAGCCTACTCACCCTGTCCAGCCTGCCCTGTGCCCTCCCACAAAGGGGTTGCACTCACACGAAGCTGAAAGGGCTGTTGGTGATGAGGAACAGCTGCTTTCCATTGGCTACTAGGCGGCTGAGGACAGCAAATGTCTCGTCCCCTTTCAAGATGTATTTCTCTAACGAGAGAGAGATGAGCGCCTGTGAGGGCCGAGCCTCCCACACCAGCCCAGGCAGACTGAAGGTAGGGCCAACCGTTCACTGTTACCCATGTCCCGCTCGATCCACTGGTACATGAGGCCCTTCACATGCACATCTCGAATAGCATCCTGGGGGTAGCAGAGGACACTGAGGGTGCAACTTGGCCCAGGGCCTGAGTCTCCCCTCCCGGCCATTCTTGGGGACAGGCCCGGCAGCCTCACCGTCACATCCTTGTAGAGATGTGCCTGGTCGAATTCCAGACCATGGCCCAGGAAGTGGTCCACCACGCAGGACAGCAGAGCCATCTCCGGCAGGGAGAAGATGTCCATGAACTGCTTGATCGAGGGACCCTGGGGAGGGGCCACCATCTCAGCACCTTTCAGCCCTGCCACGCCCAGTCCTGGCAACCAGAGGCGTGGAATCTACCTTGGGTCACCCGCAGAAGGGCACTCACTGCTTGAGGGTTAGGGCTAGTCCCCTGGGGCTGGGAGTCGAGTGCCTGCGGGGTGAACAGACCCAGGCTGCGTGGGACAGCAGCCGAGGAGCACGTACCTTGCCATAGAAGCCGCTCATGTGGTACAGGGGGATGTGCTGAGTGCCCCCATACAGGTCGATCACTTCCTCATCTGGCACAGGCTGGAGGCCCCTGGGTGGATGCAGACACCATCAGCCCAAAGGGGTCTTGAGCACACGGCTGGGGGAGTGAGTGAGGGCAGGACAGGACAGGGGCAGGGAGCAGGTGACTCTGACCTGTAGGCCGTCCCCAGCTGCACATAATGGTAGGCATCAATCTTCATCAGGAGGCTCTGGGAACCAGTGGAACAGGGTGGGTGGTAAGGGGCAGTACGGCTGGTGGCTCTGGACCAGCCTCCAGCAGGCACTACACTTGAGGCCCCAACTGGACAGCATCAAGGGGAACACGTATACACTAAGATGAAGATATGGCTTTGAGGCCAGAGAGGTGAGCAGGAGCCTGAGGGAGTCAGCGGTCCAACCACTCACCTTCTGGATGTCATAGTGGAGACCGCGGATGGCAAAGCTGGGGTTGTAGTCATACTTGCGAATCCCCTCTGGGTACTGTTGGGAGGAGGCAAGAGGGGCCTGAGCAGGTGATTCTGAGCAGCTGACTGGGTGGTCACCTCAAAGGACTGATCCAGCCATCCACCAGGCCAGGAGAGCTGAGCCTTGGGTGTGCAATTACCGGGTCTGGCCTGGCTGGCCTTACCTTGTAGTGTTCAATCAGGATGTCCTGGGCTGCACTGAAGATTTCAGGGTGCAGTGAATCTGCATACTGTGCCAGAGTGTAGTCGTAGTCAAAGCCATAGACCTCAACATCCCGCAAGCTGATCTCATTGTTGGCGTAGATGGCCGCTGGGTTCAGGAGACTGCAGACTTCAGGGGGCAGGAGGTCTAGAGAAAGGAAACGAAGATGCCAACAGCTGCAGCAGCAATGGTCACTGAACACATTCCAGATGGCCACAAAACACCCCTCAGTTGGATACCCTAATCTCATGATGCAGGTTAAACTGAGACTCATGGAGGTCATTGCTCAGGTTATGTGGGTCAGGCAGGCTAGCGCTCCATCCATGGGCTTCCCACAAACCACCTGGGTTAGATTACTGTCTGCAGTCCATCAGGAGCACCAAGGCCATGGGGCTCCCAGGTTCTCATCATAGAGCCCCGGCAGATACAGAACTGGCTCATCCATGGCTACTCTGGGATGCTGGCAGCACATTTCAAGGGGGCAGCCACGCAGTTCCTCATTGTCCAGTCCCAGAACAGTCTACAATGTGCATCCTTGCCCCCCTGTTCATATCCTGTTCCCGAGTACCATTATGTCTCCTCCTTCCTTCCATGTGGGAGAAAGATCCCATGCTCTTCTCCCAGCCCCGCTGGATGCCCATGTGAGGGATGGCATGTGTGAGGACTGAGAACCCCAGCTGAGAGGTCTCTTGCCTACTCTAGGCCAGACTGCAGTCAGGGCTGAGGATCGTAGATGGGGCTCCTTGGTAACTTCTGCAACTCACAGGGCTGCCAGCTCTGAACAGCTGCCACCGCCTGGGCATTGAGGCCCCTCTAAATCGGATTTTAGCTGCCCGCCAGCTCTCCTAATGACATTTACTGGCTCTGGTCTGAGAACATTGCTAATTACAACAAGCGGGACATGTGAGGTCAGGTTCTGGGGCCGTTACCTAAACTTCTGTTATGAAGACGTGGTCACCCCAAAAAGCTGCGTAGTCCTGAGGGCCTGCATTGGCTCTGAGGGCCATGAATCTCCAGCTGGATAAGCGGATGGGGAGAGGGGCTACATGATGGAACAGGTATAGGCTTTGAGAGATCAGACAAGGCCTGGCCCCCAAGACTAAGACCTGAAGAAAATCACCTCACTTTCTGAATCTCAGTATTCCAACGGAACTACAAACTTAGCAAGAGGCCTATGTGATGCAGTAAATTACTTAATATGACCCTGCTAGTCTCTCATATGGAGCTCTGGTAAGCTTAATGGCAAGAAGTTTCCCTGCAATCCTGAAGACAGCAGTTCGAATCCACCAGCTGCTTTGAGGGAAACAGCTGGACAATTTCCTCTTGTAAGATTAACTGCCACTGTCCAACTTGATGACACACAATAAGAAGTCAGTCATTGGGACTCCCATCAGATGACCAGGAGGGACTATGGAAGCAAGGAGTTTATGGTCCACCAAGGAGACCTGACAGCTTGCTAACAATGCAAATAAGGTTTGTGACACCTTTATGGTGGTGGGGCCATATAAATAAGGTACGTTGTTGTTTGCTGTTGAGTTGGGGCAACCGGTCAGTGGGATTTTCCAAGGCTGTTAATTGCACGGGAGATCTTTCTCCAGAATGGCTGTTGGATCCAAACTGCATGTCTTTGGGATTGCAACACAGCTTCTTACCACTAGACCACCAGAGCTCCTCTCTAAATAAGTACAATAGAACCCTAACGAAGGGATTGGTCAGCTTTGACATCCCAATAGGCTAACAACGAGCTAACCCAGAGGTGTGGCTGGAAGAACTTACTACAATGAATAAGAGACAGGGGGGAGCCTATCATTTGGACCCAAATCCTCCATTGGGAACCTTACTTGAGAGGTGGCAGCAGAGAGAACAGAACTAGCAAGACTGGCAGGTGGGCTTCCCGGCCCATGGAGCAAGAAAGCTGAGCACCTGTGGGTCAGTACCCGAGGCTTAGGACAGAGTGGGGTGCCTATGGGCATCTCCTGGTGGAGTTTAGTTTCTTCTACCTGAACAGGGTAGAGGGCAGGTCAACCCAAAGAACCGAAGGCCTGGGAAAGGCTTGTCCACAGGCACGGCTGAGAAGCTGATCCAAGAACAGTGTCCTGGATTGTTCCTGAAGAGGAACCTGCTGCTTCTCATATAGCCCCCCTTAAGTCTGAGGATTACCTGTGAGTCGTGTGGCTACTGAGATGACTCACAGAAACCAGCAGTGAAGAGCAGAGCTTCTTGGGAGGGAGACCTGGTCAAGATTGGAGGCTTGAGGTATGTTTGATTCTCACCCTAGAGGACACAGCCTTGGCGGCTGCTGACCGTCCTCCTCCCACTTGTGAAGGGAGGTCAGGTGGGATTTTTCACAGGCCATGGAAGGTGTTCTGTGAGGCACTCTGCCGAACAGTGTACGTGTGGGATGGATAGGTGACGTGCTTCCTGAGCCTGTGTCCTCCTGCCCCTTATATTCCTGCCATCACTCAAATAACAGGTTATGGGAGCAGGCAATCCTAGGTGCACGTTATCTTCCGTTGAGTCGGAACTGACTCATAGCTAACTAACCTGCCAGTGGGTTTTTTCAAGGCTATAAATCACACAGGAAGAGGTTACTCATCTTCTACCTTGGAGCAGTGGATGGATTCAAACTGTGTACCTTTGGGCTGGTAGTGCAACTCCTTACCACTAAGCCACTAGCACTCCCTACTAGGTGCACAAGGCACTGCTTCGCAAGGTCCTGTTCCCGAGACTTCTAGCCTGTGGTGAGCCCAGCATGCTGAGACCTAAACAGAAGCCTGGGTAACGGCGGGATTCCTGTGTCTGCCAGTCAGACTTGAGCAGAAGCGCCAGCCACACAGTGTGCCTGTGCTCAGAGGCAGACGCCTCGCTAATGGGCTCCCCTGCTGGGGAGCAGTCACCCCTTTGGAGCACAGGGCCCCCACTCCCTGCTTTCTTTTCTAGCCAAGTGTTGGGTGGGGACCAGGGAACAGGTGTGGCTGGTTTCTTTGGCAGCCCCAGGCCAGCACAAGCCTAGCAGAGCAAATGTTCTGCAAGTGTGTGGCTATGGAGGGCTCACTACTTACATGGACAAGCGTGAAGTGGTCAACTTCAGCCTTCTGGGGACCTGGACCCGAGATCCTCACTGGTGTCACCAGGACCGTGAACATTACCCTTCCCGCAGGCCTGAGTTCCTGGCTACCAACTTTCCCCTGCAGAAGCCCTCCAGGGTAGAAGAGGCCTTCCTGGCAGTGCAGCCCCTCGATGCTACAGAGTCCTGGCCATGCTGAGGCCTTTGCTTCTGTCTTTGTGGATGGTTCTGCAGACAGACCTCCCACAAATGAGGTGAGAGGGGAAAGCAGCCCATCTGGCTTCCTGACTTGATCCCAAAACTGAGAAACCACAGTCCCAGGGCTCACTCCTTTCCACAGGGATGTGGGTGTACAGGAACAAGGTGGCCTCTGCCCTGCGCTGGTCTCCTCAGTCCCTGGCACTTGGCTTGTACCACTGGGTTCCAGGCCCAGCTCTTCCCCGGGGTAGTTATGAGACTCAGTTGTGAGCGCCACCCTCCCAGCAGCGGATCCCTGGCACTTGTCTTGCATAAACTTTACAGACTCATCCTGGTCGGTCAGTATCTTCACTGCGCTCCTGTGAGGTAGGCAGTTATACACACTTTTTCATTGTCCAGAGGAGCAAACTAGGGGCTCAGGGAAGTAGAGTCACTGGTCCCAAACTTTCCAGCAGCAGGGAACAGAACTTCCTTACCCCCCCTCCCCACTGCTCTGTCTAGCCTTCCAATGTGCCCACACTGACTGGAATGAGGGGGGGGGCAAAGAGGTGCAAGTACAGGTGGTGCTAGTAGCACTCCTTCAGGACTCAGAGGTTCCCTGGCAAAGTTGTTGGGGTGAGGAACACTTTGACTAGTCAGACAGTAAAAGCTGTATCACCTCTGGGGGCTGCCCCAGAAAACTCTTGGGTGCATATTCTTTGCCCCCACCCTCATGCTAGGATTGGAGCCAGGGGCCATGAGGCTGGTCCACCCTGGTCCTCAGGATGGCTCTAAGAAGAGCTTGGGGAGGGGGGTGTTTCTACCCAGAGCCACTCTGGCTGGGTCCTGGAGGACAATGGCAGTAGATGCTCCACGGCCCTTCCCCCACACCTGTAAGGCAGGCTTCTGCCCCGCAGTCCCGTTCCCTCTGCTGAGACAATCAACCCTCCTTGTGGGGGAAGGGAAAGGCCCTCAAGGCTCAAGGGCTTTAAAAGTGCCACAAGTCTCCCCAGGGTTGCAGTGAAGCTTTCTCCCAGGCCTGGCCTGACAGATCTAGGGCTCAGGGCCTGCAGACAGCCTAGGCAGGGCCACTTTGTCTTATCAGACAATGCAAGCCCCCGGGCTGCTCCGGAAACCCCTGAGATCAGCATTGTGTTTTCACGAGGGACCCAGAGAGCGGGTCTTTCTGAGGGCCAACCAGCTAGCTGGTCAGGGACGGGTCATCACGCACACAGCATCTGTCAGCCGTGGATGCTGGGCCCAGGGAGTGGACGAATGTGTGCTGTTCTCACGTCCCTCCAGGGCACCCCCAGCCTATCTTGTCGAGATACAGCTTCTGTCCTCATTGATCCACTTTGCACGAGAGCACTGGGATCCAGTGCTTTGGCCAAGGCTGCCGCCACCCTTCTGGATTCCCGGGGCGAGGGCACCTTGGTGTTGACTGTTCTCGGGGCTGAGATTGTTCCGACATTACCGGCTCAAGCCTGCTTAGGTCGAGCCGCCCCCAGGAGGCCGCTACGGTCAGCGCCCACCGTAGGCTGTGTCCACAATGCTGCTGCCCGCACCAAAGTCCAGCGGAGAACAAGGGGTTGGGGGAGTTGCAGCCATGGCCTCTAGCTCGGCAAGACCGGGGGTTTTAGGGAGTTAGGCGAGGGCCCTGCACTCAGACGGACGCTCCGGGAGCCCCGAGCTTTTGCCCGCCTTGGAGCGTAGACATGTATGGAGACTCAGGACCCTCAGAAAGCTACAGGACCAGGGACCAGACTTGCTCCCCAAAAAGGCGCCGGCCCCAGGGGTAGCCCTACGCGGGTGCTTCTTTCGAAGAACAGAGCCCAGACGGTTCGGAAGCCCCGGCGCCCCCTCTGCCACCCACGTCTTCCTCCGCGCAGGGCCCCTCTCCGCGCTCGTCCGGCGCGCTCACTCACCGTGCACTAGTCTTCGCCTGTCCTGGTAACGCGCCCAGAGGTGCGCGCTGGGGTCGGCGCCGCCGGCGGGCGCGGGGGCGAGCGCGGGGCGCGGACCGCCCGGGCAGGGGACCCCAGGACCCGGGGGTCCGCAGCCCGGGCAGGACGAGGACGAGGCGGCCCGCGGCACGTCGTGGCCTCCGCACAGCAGCCAGCGCCGGGCGGCCGCCCGCAGCCCCGCGCCCACCATGCCCGCTGCGCGCGGCCCCCGCTGCCCTCGGCCCGTCGGCCAGTCCGCCGCCCTCCGACTAAGTGGCCGCCACCGTGGCCGCGTGCTGCTCACAGCGGCCGACCAATAGGCGCGGCGCGAGGACGCCAGTCTGCCAATGGGTGCGCTACTCGACTTGGGGGGCGGGAGGTCCCGGGACGGGGCGGGGCGGGCTTCCAGCCCCCTCCCCCAGCCCGTGGCGCGGCGGCGGCGGGCTGCGCGCCCCCTTCTGATGCAGGGCGCCGATGGCGGCCCCTTCTCGGATCCCCAGCGGGGGACGTCGGAGAGCCTGAGAGCGGCCGCCCCCGCGGGGCCCTGGACGGCGAGACGTGGAGAGGAGTGGGCCGGAGTGCAGGCGGTTCTCGTCCTTTCCCGAGCTCCGAGTCCTCTTGACCCAGTTCCTCTGCTCCTCCCCGCCCCCCAGCCCCGGGTCTTTCTATGGAGGGCCCACTCCCCGCCTCCGACTATCCGCAGCCCTGAGCCTTCACGGATTTATTCGCCTTGCTAACAAAGACCCCTTCCAATGCGAGCCCGGATGCCAGGGTCCCGCTGAGGGAGGCTCCAGGACTAGCAGGGTGGCTGAGGTCCCCTGAACAATTCCCTTCCCACCTCCCTACCCCCGCCTCCTTGCCGCTTTGCAAGTGACCCCTTCTAATTCGAGCAGGGCTGGACCTAGCGCGGCCGGGCAGGGGGCTGGGAGCCCCGGCGCCCGCCGCGGGGTTCTGATCGCAGGGAACCGCCAAGGCGACTTGTTCAACTCCTCACTCCTTGGCGCACGCCCTCTGCTCCGTCCTGTTGTCTCACTGTGGTCCGATTTCCCTCCAAAATGACTCTCTTTCTTCTCTGAACTTCTCTCCAACCGTTTGTCCTCAGATCTGTTTTCTGAGCCCTCACCATTACTGGGCAGTGACCTTGGTCGCTGGTTAGCTAGGGCTGACTTTGTATCCTTGAGATGCGTCGCAGGGTGGCCTGGCCATGTTTAATGGCAGGCGTGCATTAGATACTCCGCAGCACCTTATTGGTGCATAACTCTAGTGTGCTAGATCTAGGACAAGCATCGAGGTAGTAGGCTGGGACTGTGCTTGGCTGCCAGTCAGTCAGTACAGAGAATTTGGTGGACAAGGGACTGGTTGTTGTATTGTTATGTGCCCTTGAGGCGCTTGCGACTCATAGCCACCCTATGTACAATGGCCCTGAGACCTGCTCTATCTTGTGCCAACCTTCTCTCTGGCACACTTACTGTTATTACCCCAGTCACTGACTCAATCCATCTCATCGAGGGTCTTCCTCTCTTGCGCTGTCCCTCCATCTTTCCAAGCATGATGTCCTCCAAGGACTGGTCCCTCCTTGCAACATGCCTAAGGTATGTCAGATGAAGTCTCAGAATCCTTGCCTCCAAGGAGCAGCCTGGTTTCACCCTCTCTAGGATAAACCTGTTTGTTCTCCTGGCAATCCATCGCATATTCAATTCTTCAGCACCACAGCTCAAAGGCATCCATTTTCTTTCTATCATCCCTAGTCATTGTCCAGCTGGTAGACACTTGAATACATGAACTCCTACTTCATGAGGGCAGGAGGAGCATATTCAAGTGTCCCATTGGCAAAGCCACCAAGGAAGTAGGAGCAACAAGCAAAAAGGTATATGTATTGGGAGGAGATAGCTCCATATCCGGGTGATGACTCAGATTTATCCAGGACCGTTTGGAGAGGCTCAGCCTTTTGTCTTGTCCAGTCGGACACTTTTGTTTGATTTTTGCTTAGACTGACTAATATTTGTCTCCCACTTATGACGGCTTTCCTCTTTTTATTTTAAGGATGGCAGCCCCTTGGAGACATCTGCGGCTTCTACAACGAGGAGATGAAGAGTATAATCTCTGGAGTTTGAGTGAAACTTGTACTTAGCTTATTTTATCATGGTGAAAACAGTGACTATTCACCAGTCTATTAGGGCTTAATAAGTCATCAGAACCCTCACCATATTTATTATTATAAAACCAAACTCAGTCTTTTGCTTTGGAGTTAGTTCCGACATAACCTTATAAGATAGAGTAGAACTACCTCACAAGCTTTCAAAAACAGATTTTTTTTTTAATTTTTTTTTTTTGTATTTCAAAACAAACTCTGGCCAATTTTATTGAAGAAAATTATTACGTGATTTCTTTTTCTCCAGTCTGTTCTGGCACGCTTCTAATGATATCAGAATCACTTGGATCAATGATAGCCAATGTGCACACTCTGTAGTATTTTCCGCATGCTGTGCCCAGTTCAACATCATTGCCACTGTAGCGACAGACACCACTTTTGGCCAACACGGCATAGTACTCAATTTCAGATTTCTTCAAGGTTGGGCAGTTGTTGGCGAGGATGACCAACTTGGCTTTTCCTTGCCTGATCATTTTCAGAGTCAGCTTGTCACTCAGCAGGTATTTCCCACTTTTCATAACAAGTTGGAACCTAGAGTTGATCAACTCCAGGGACTTTTTCATCTTTTTCACAGCTACCACTTTCTATAGGTGCCAGCTGGCCCTCTTTCCAGCTACAGCTGCGAACAGAATGGCCAGGGACTGATAAAGGAAGTGAATGGGTTGGGGTTTTTGTTGTTGTTGTTTTTTTTTAAACCAGCATAAAATAAAAATTTTATTTAAGAAGAGTTTTTCAAATACACAACATATCCTTTGTCCCGGTACCTCCGTTTTTTGTTGTTGTTGTTTTAAAAAAATTATTATGATTTGAGTGGAGGTTCACAGAGCAGATTGGTTTCCATTTGAACCATTCATATCCTTTTTGGTTTATTACATTGAGTATAATAACAATGAGAGGGACATCATGCTGGGTAGAGTGGAGGGACAGCGCAGGAGGGGAAGACCCTCTATGAGGTGGATTGATTCAGTGACTGGGGTACTCGGGATGGGTTTGTCAGGGGCAATGAGATTGGCACAGGATAGAGCACTGTTTAGGGCTGTTTTACATAGGGTTGCTATGAGTCGCAAACAACTCGATGGCACATAACAACAACAACACTCTTCCCACTTCCTCCATGTGCTTCTTGTTTCTTTTAATCCTTTTGGCCCCTTCCTGCCTTCTGAACTTTAACCTAGGCAATTATGCCCTTTTGATCTTCTATGGGTGATTATTCTAAGAAGTTATTTCTTCTCTTATTTTATTGTTCACTTTATGTTTGTTGTTGTTGGCCTGACTTACTCATAATTAACCTTCCAGGGTCTGGTGGTTTTGAACTACTTGTCTTTGGATTGACAGCACAGTTCCTGTGAACAGAGCACTCTGTTCACCTTATAAGCTTGTCTGTGGTTTGGCAGGGGACCTCTGATGGTACAGTACGTGGTGAGTCTTGCTGATAGCCAAAGGGCTGCGTCCCTCCAGTCATTCATTTCTACCAGCAACTCCTAGGGAGAATGATGAACAATCTCCTCTAGCTGCAGTGAGTTGAAGCCAACTAGATAACATGCACTGAGTGGATTGGGTCAAAGTTGACTCCTCGGGTGAGTTTGGCTCCAGGCTGAAGGGATGTTTAATGACTACCGCCATGAGTATTCCTTCCGTCCCCATCAGAACAGTTACCCTGGCCACTTTCGGGATTCTGAGTTTTGTTCCTCATTTATTTCCCATACTATCCATGATTTTCTGTTTTGATCCCTCTCATAGTGGTAGCCAAATGCCATCTGCTTCTGGCTTCAGAAGTTGAGATATTAAGGTCTAATTTTTTCCATTCATCTCTGATTTTCTTCACTCTTTTGCTTTGAACAGGGAAAGACCAATAGTTTGAGAAGTCTATAAATGTTTAGAGAGGCAGACTGCCTTGGCTCTCTCCATTTAGGTGCTGGCAGCTTCCAACTGTTGACTTTTTGGTTAGTTGTTGTTGTTGTTTATTGCCATCAAGTTGAGCATGACTCATAGCGACCCTATGAACAAAAGCCTGAAGCCTTTCTATAATTATCGTCATTTCTCCAAGTTCATAGAGTTTTCAGAGGCATGTGGGTTAGGAAGTGGATGCCACTCCTGCTTCCAAACCTGTCTTAAACTGGGAGCTCCACCAAACACTGTCCACTGTGGGCAACCTGAAGCCTTTCTAGAACTATCGTCATTACTCCAAGTTCATAGAAGAGCAGAGCATATAACCAACCACTGGATTTTTAAAAAAATTAATTTTAATACAAGTTTACAGAGACTTTGGATTTCCATTCATTCTTTGTTGCACTTTTCTCCCTGCCCAATCCACCCCCTCCCCGCCCCCCAGTTTGCTCTTCTCTTTGAAAAATAAAAGAAAAATTCTTTCGTTGTTATACAATCCCTCCCCCCAGGTCCATTCCACTATGCAGCCTTCCTTCTGGACTCCTGTCATGACAATAATACCTAACCATATATCTCTTTTAAACAGTTCTCTCCCTCATCTATTTCAATGCAGTGCACATAATTTATCCCATCTTTCTCAGTCTCCTCGCAACCCCAATGTCAGTCCTGTTTTACAACAGTGGCACTATGCAGTATTTGTCTTTTTGCAACTGAGATATTTCACTCAGCATAATGTCCTCCAGGGTCACCCATTTTGTGTAATATTTCATGAGTTCCTTGGTTTTCAATGCAGCATAGTATTCCATTGTGTGAATATACCACAGCTTCTCTATCCCTTTGTTGATGGGTACTTGGTTTTTTTCCAACTCTTTGCTATTATGAACAAAGCTGTGATAAACATGGATGTGCATTAGAGTTTTTTAAAATTTTTGTATTATTTCTGTGTGTGTACCATCAAATTGGATCTGACTGGTACAGGAGGAGATTGTCTTTGAATCCTACACCTCTGGGATTGGAGTGCAGCTTCCTGCCACTAGGCCACCAGAGCTCCCTATAATTTTTTTAAATTTTTATTTTTATTGTATTATTTTTACATGTACCATCAAATCAGATCTGACTGGTACAGGAGGAGATTGCCCCCTCCTTCTCCAGCAGAGCATCTGGTGGAATTGAACCGCGTACCTCTGGGATTGCAGTGCAGTGTCTTGACACTATAATTTTTTTTAAGTCAATAGTCTCTATCATGTTTGTTGCCTTTTTTAAAAAATTATTATTGATTTTAATAAAAACTTACAGAGACTTTGGATTTCCATTCATTCATTGCTAGAGCTCCCTGTAATTTAAAAAAAATATTTTTATTTACTTTATTCTT